TGCTAATCATGTTAGCTTCTTGTGTAAAAACATGCTAGCATGATGCTAGCTACATGCTAATCAGCTAGCTTCTTGCTAAAAACATGCTAGCATGATGCTAGCTACATGCTAATCGTGCTAGCATTGCTAGCTACTTGCTAATCATGCTAGCATGATGCTAGCTACATGCTAATCATGCTAGCTTCTTGCTAAAAACATGCTAGCATGATGCTAGCTACATGCTAATCATGCTAGCATGATGCTAGCTACATGCTAATCATGCTAGCTTCTTGCTAAAAACATGCTAGCATGATGCTAGCAACATGATAATCATGTTATTATGATGCTAGCTACATGCTAATCATGCTAGCATGATGCTAGCTACATGCTATCCTGCTAGCTTCTTGCTAAAACATGCTAGCATGATGCTAGCAACATGCTAATCATGTTATTATTGATGCTAGCTACATGCTAATCATGCTAGCATGATGCTAGCTACATGCTAATTATGCTAGCTTCTTGCTAAAAACATGTTAGCATGATGCTAGCTACATGCTAATCATGCTAGCTTCTTGTTAAAAACATGCTAGCATGATGCTAGCAACATGCTAATCATGTTATTATGATGCTAGCTACATGTTAATCATGCTAGCATGATGCTAGCTACATGCTAATTATGCTAGCTTCTTGCTAAAAACATGTTAGCATGATGCTAGCAACATGCTAATCATGCTAGCATGATGCTAGCAACATGCTAATCATGCTAGCATGATGCTAGCTACATGCTAATCATGCTAGCTTCTTGCTAAAACATGCTAGCATGATGCTAGCAACATGCTAATCATGTTATTATGAATGCAAGCTACATGCTTATCATGCTAGCATGATGCTAGCTACATGCTAATCATGCTAACATGATGCTAGCTACATGCTAATCATGCTAGCTTCCTGCTAAAAACATGCTAGCATGATACTAGCTACATGCTAATCATGCTAGCTTCTTGCTAGCAACATGCTAATCATGATACTAGCTACATGCTAATCATGCTAGCTTCTTGCTAACAACATGCTAAATCATGTTAGCATGATGCTAGCTACATGCTAATCATGCTAGCTTCTTGCTTTAAAACATGCTAGCATGATGCTAGCAACATGCTAATCATGCTAGCATGATGCTAGCTACATGCTAGTCATGCTAACTTCTTGCTAAAAACATGCTAGCATGATACTAGCAACATGCTAATCATGCTATTATGATGTTAGCTACATGCTAATCATGCTAGCTTCTTGCTAAAATATGCTAGCATGATGCTAGCAACATGCTAATCATGCTAGCATGATGCTTGCTACATGCTAGTCATGTTAGCTTCTTGTTAAAAATATGCTAGCATCATGCTAGCAACATGCTAAATCATGCTATTATGATGCTAGCAACATGCTAATCACGTTAACAACATGCTAATCATTTTAACTACATGCTAATCATATTAGCATCAAGCTAGCTACATGCTAATCATGTTAGCTTCTTGCCAATAACATCTATCTATCTATCTTTCTAACTAATCTATCTTTCTAACTAATCTATCCATCTTTCTTTCTTTCTTTCTTTCTTTCTTTCTTTCTTTCTTTCTTTCTAATTCCATCTTTAAAACTTAATTCAAACTTCAAAATTCTTCAAACGCTCTGGTCCGGCTTTCTCAAGCCAACTTAAAGTTTGTGTCATCAAACTTTTTTTTCTAGTTGCAATATATTGAACATATTTTCCCCATTTCGTCATATATTTTTCTGCCCTATCATTAATATTGAAATACATTTTTTCATATGATGCCACTTTTGCTAACTCCGTGCTCAACTCCTGGAAAGAGGGCTCACCTGCGTTCTTCCAGTTTCTCGTTATTATTTCTTTTCCGATCATAATACTGGTCTGAATAAAGTCTGAAAATGATGTCATTTGTGGATCATTTAAAACATACAACCTCGGGCAGAATTCCAAGCTTATCCGGGTAATGTTTTCGATGTAATCATGAATCTTTAACCAATAACTCTGAATTCTGGGATGAATAAGAGTCCCTTCCGAGCTGCAGCATTTCCAGCAGTTTGCATTATCCCTTAACTTCAGTCTAAACAGTCCAATAAAAACGATTAAGAATCTTAAACTGAATTAATCTAATTTTAATGTCTCTTGAAACCCTCTTAATATTTTCACAGATATGATAATGGGAACTGAAACGGTGTGGTTACCAACGTTCAACGTAAAGTTGATAATTCCGCGAATGACTGCACTTGCAGATTTCGAACAGAGATGGCGACAAAGAGGGGAAGATATGAAAATAAAGTATTAAAAAAAAGATATACAGTGTAATTGAAATCTAGACGCAAATAGATAAAGTGCTTTAAAAGATACAGTTAAAAGTGTGTTTTTTGTGTCCACTAAAATCTCAATATTGACAGATGCATGAAACACACAGTTTTTGCCTGTAGTGTCTCGCCTTCAGGAAACATCAGGAAAGATGAAGGGAGCTCTATAACATGCATTCAGAAAATATGTTGGATTTTCATGTTTTCTATTTGTGCCGATTTTTAATTAATTCAATTATTACAGCGCAAACCATCTTTTTTTTTTAACAATACATGAATGAATGAAGTGTGTACAGTAAGTTTTGCTGTTGATTCTCTCATCATTGCTGGATTTGTGCACTCAAGTGTTATGATGAAAACGCTGTCTTTAGATTAACAATAAAGCACTTATCGCGTTTACCAGTGGCCTCACCACACATCCAACAATCAGAGCACTGGTTAAAGGAGATGGAGCTGGCGAAGCGGAAGAGCCGTGATAGAAACGCGAGCGTGTGCTTCTTTAACCAGCCTGAGCGTTCATAATGCCTGTAATGGAGTGTGTGATGGAGTTTGCGGGGTTAATTGGCGGAGGAGCAGATGTGTTGTTTGTGGAGAGCAGAAACGCTCTGGATGAGGTGAGCATTTAACTTCAGATCAATCCGAACAATACCTCCTCAGCAGAAGTTCTTAAAGACAACTTTATGCATTTGACAGATGCTTTTATGCAAAGTGACTTACAATCCAGTCAAACCTAAAGTTATTCACACACCAGATATCATTTTTGATATAGTTTCACTAGTGTGTGCAGGACACTATAGTTCATTTATGTAAGTGAGGAGACATATTACACCCAAATATTCTTCATACAGTGACTACCGGTGACATTTATACACATTTGGGACCAATAATGAGAATAATTGATTAACGAACCTCTGGATTTAGCTCTAGATATAATGTAATTATAGGTTGTTTTGATCTATTCAGTGATTTAAGTCAATCACTGAATTGGGATTTTTGTTATAATTTATAAATTATTTTTAATTATTTAAAAATTGTTCTAATTTTGTTTTTCTCATTGCATTGTGCTCTTTATTGCTTAGATTTATTTTTTATTAACATTTTTGTTTTGGCATTGTACAGCACAGTTGTCAACTACCGTTGTTTTTATTGTGCTTTATAGATACATTTTGTTTTGATTTGATAAATGTTGGTTGTTTGTATTATATTAAGAGATTTAAAAGTTTATAATATATTAAAGTGCCCATATTTTTGGTATATTCCCTTTCATGTAGTTTGTCATATAGCTGTTTGTGTAACTAATTTGCATAATGCCAGCCTGTGGTCTTGATTGGCTGAACGGCATCTCTTAGCTTCGCCCTCAAACACTGTAGTGTATCTGAGACTGGGAGAGTGTCGAGGAGACGCTGTTTTCTGAGATTGATTCGGTTAAACCCACGCCATCGTCACTGTTCGTATCACTGTGATCAAGAGCTGCGATTCAGATATGATAATGAGCGTTTCTGACCAATCACAGCAGAGCAGCTCTCAGAGAGGCGGGGCTTAGAGAGACTGAGTCCTCGATCGAAGCGTTTCAGACACTGAGAGAAAGAGCTGGTGCTGCAGCGGAGATTATGAGTGTTATCTGTTTACAAAATCTTAAAAAGAAAATCAGAAATCTTTTAAAATAGCATAATTGGGTAACTTTAAGAGATTTTAATATCGGTTGGTTTTGTTAAAAGTGTAAAGCAAGAGATTCTCAAAAAATATGAAAGAAATGATGACGAGCCACTTCGGAAATCACAGACTGAAATGAAACACAAGTTTTCACACTCACTGCGAGGGCTGATAATGATGTATCGTTTCAATTTAACGTCTTGTCACAATGAAAATTTGCTGTGAAAATCTGTGGTCCTGAAGGTGTTCCTCAGTCAACAGGGTTGCCAGATTGGGCGGGTTCCCGGGTCTTTGTATATTCAAGTGATTGCTAATGTCGAAGTGGCATACATATGTAAGTCGTATCTACAGTAAAGAGTGAGATAGGGAGCAACTTCTTCTAAATTCTGCAACTTGTACTTCACAAAAGACCCACTGTAGTTCTGTCTAACGTTAAAGTGTGTTCTTGTTGTTATATTGATGTTGTTGGATTATCGTATCAATGAATTACACATTTTGGCTGTGGTCTGTGCGTCAAATATCTTCTAATTACATTGCTCATTATAATCACTTATACTGGTCACAGTTTGCACTGAAATTGGCTTATTCTTGTTGCAAAACGATTTTCCAACGGTTAAAGTCATCAGTTAATCTTTTTGATTGCCGTTTTGCCATTCCACCTGGACATATTACTAATATTTGCTAATTCTCTTTAATTTATCGCCCTGTTTTGATCCGTTTTCATTTTTTTTTTTCATTTTATGGAGAAACATTTTGTTTTAAGGAGATAAAAATGGTGCTTATCAACCTTGATTGACATGGCAACAAAATGATATCACCCTGAAATTCACCCTATTTTCTAAATGAATGTTATAGATTTTCCTTTGTTCCTTCCTAATGTTTCCTTAAAGCTAATTATGTAATTTTTTTCACTGATAGGGTTTGCTAACCTCCTAATAAAGGCGTACAGTAGGTTGATGACGCAGTGATAAGCGGAATCATGGATCTTGTCGTCAAGCTGATGAACATCTAATAATGTTTATGGATGAGTGAATACGTTGATGTTTCTATCATGATCGTGGGATAAAATAGGGCGCGAGTGCTAATGAGAGACAGATCTCAGCGCCACACGCGAGTCCAGCGGATATAAACAATGAGGACGTTTCAAGTTTATTAGACGAGCGAAGCGCTGTTTCACTTGCTCTATACTATCACACTAAACACGTTTGAGTGTGTGCTAGAGTTATAATGTTATTCTATGTGTTAGTTTGTCTGTAGGAAACTAGCAGTGAGCAGGATCAACATTACAATAACATTCTGATCATACTCTAACATTTCATCATGGTGAGCTGTATAACATCGATTAGTTTATATACATTTGCTCAACTGTCTAATAAAACCATCTCACAGGAATTCGTACGAATTTTACGAGGTGGCTAATTCGTAACAATTCATACGACCTCATTCTTACGAATTAGTACGATTTTTGCTAAATCGTACATATTTTACAAATTGGCCAATTTGTATGAATTCGTACGAATGACCTAACCCAGACCCCGCCCCTAAACCCAACCATCACGTGGGTTTAGACAAATCGTACAAATTCGTACGAGTGAGGTTGTATGAATTAGTACGAATTAGTGACTTTTTAATCACTCGTACGAATTCGTACGAATTGGTCGTGAGATAGCGTAGAATAAAACACATGCTCTGTCGAATCAAAGTTAGCCGCGGACGCTAGCTCTTGGCATCTCGAAAACGCTACGCCGATGTTGATCCTTGTTTTATTTCTCCTTTTGTCCCAAAGTCTGCTTGCCATGGTCCATAATGTTTGAACGAAAACAACAACAGCGTGAGCGCGCCACTAGACGTAACGTAGCGTCTGTCGCCATGGTTACTGCGGCAGTACGAGTGAAAACCAGGGATAACGCGGATATTACGTCATTGACAGGCGATAATCGAACAGGGACGATTTAATTTAAATTTAAAATTGTGAATTTCTCTGAAATTAAAAATCTTTGGGAACTTTTGGGATACACAACCGCAGGAAATATATCACACTGTACAAGTGATTTTTGGATATTTTATTACAAAAATCTTACATATTGTACCTTTAAGGCAAGACAATACGGGCAAAAACTGCGTGTTTTCATGCATCTGTCAATTTTGAGATTTTGGCCATAAAGTGTAAAGAATAGTGGCCAGAAAACATCCAAAACACACTTTTAACTGTATCTTTTAAAGCACTTTATCTATTTGCGTCTATAGATTTCAATTACAATGTATATCTTTAAACGAGTTTGTCCTCCTGCATTGAGCCAGAATCTCATTATTTTGGCAGTTAAAGTGTTGGGGCTTTGGGTCATTTTGAAGGATTTGTTGAAACGCGAGGGACGGATGAAGATAAAAATGGTTGATTGACATGGCAATAAAAGGATATCACATTATTTTGGCAGTTGAAGTTTTGTGTGTGTTTTGCTGAGCTTTTGTGTCCGTCCCAATCTGGCAACACTGGTGTTCAGCATCAGGGGTTCCCCGGCCTGTGTTTCATTCATTCCTCAGCAGGACTTCATGCAGGGCAGCAAATGTAGAGGAACCGGCCGATCATCCCGAACCCATCCGACTCCACAACACATCAACTTAAAGGGTTAGTTCACCCAAAAATGAAAATTAAGTCATTAATTACTCACCCCCATGCTGTACCAACCCCGTAAGACCTTCGTTCGTCTTCGGAACACAAATGAAGATATTTTTGATTAAATTTGAGAGCTGTATAACTACCACATTGGCTCCTAAGGGACTGCCTCTTGACGGCCCAGAAAGTCAATGAAGAAAATGTTTAAATATCCCAAGTGACTACCGTGGCTCAACTATATGTTTATCAAGCGACGCGAATACTTTTTGTGCGAAAAAACAAACAAAAATAACGAGTTTATTCGACTATTTCTTTTCTTCCTTGTAGGCCAGAACGAGACTTCCTTAGATTTCCACGACGCATGCGCGAGAATTGCGATCTGAAGTAGTGTAAGCAGATCGCAATTACGGTCTTACGGGGTTGGTACAGCATGGGGGTGAGTAATTAATGACTTAATTTTCATTTTTGGGTGAACTAACCCTTTAATCAACAATTATAACTTAATGGTGTTAACCATCGTCGGCCAAGCCTTTACACATGCCCACCTTACGTTTTTGTGTGGTTTTGGATCCACCGACGCGCCTGGATGTCACGGGTCGGCCTTTAAACCCACTGAACGAACCCCTCTGGGTCCTTATTACGGTCCCCGAGGGCCATTAACAGCCTCCCCTTCATCACGGCTCCTCGCGCTGTTAAGTGCTAATCTGACGCGTATTAAAGCGCTCTCGTTAAAGACGTCTGAGTGAACACTTTACACACAGCTACTTAAAGCTTCTATTGTTTACTCCAAGCTGCACTGAAAAGTGGTTTGATGTTGATACACAATCAGGGCTGGTTTAATCTGGATGTAAGTGCAGCGTTGGCCGATCGGGTCACGACGAGGACGCGGCCTGAAAATTGGGAGAAAAGCCTCTCTGATTTATTCGCCGTCTGCTTTTGAGCGAATTTCAAAATAAAGTGTATGTAACCCGTCATTATTCTGCTGTGCTGGAGTGGGATGTGAGTGGATGAAAATTGATCCAGAGAATTGAAAAAGGGGGTTAAGTGTTTTTGCCCTTATCGACGGCACGACAGAACGGCTGTTGTATGAACCACTCGTTCGTCCCCCATTAGCAGATGAGACGGTGTTATTTGAGGCCCGCATTGTGCTGAACACAAACACAAAGATGTTCGAGAGGCGATAATGGCCCGGCGAAGAATAAAGATTTTAACTCTGCAGATCATTTAAAGCCATCACAAACGCTCGTGGTGAAATGGTGTAAAACAACCCGCGCGTGTCTGGAATCAATCGTCTTTGTTGCGGTTCATCTCTGCGCTCGTATGTTTTGATTAAATAACATTAACGAAGTTGGCAACACTTTACAATAAGGTTCGTTAGTTAACTACCTTAGAAGAATCAACAATACTTCCACAGCACTTATTATTATTTCAACATTTACTTCATTAAAACCAAAGGCTGTGTTTGTTAACATTAGTTAATGCACTGTGAGCTAACATGAACAGCTGGATTTTTATTATCTAACATTAATAAAGATGAATAAATACTGTAACAAATGTACTGCTCATGGTTAATACATTATCAAATGTTAACTAATGAACCTTATTGTGAAGTGTTACCAGTGACTATAATCCCATTGGATTATTTTCAAAAACATATATTTTGTTTTACTCTAAAACCGTGAGAAAACCAAAGCCATACATCTAAACAAGTTGTTTTTCCAAGTTTCTGATGAAGAACAAAAAATCCACAGAATGACCGAATAGCACCAGAGAGTTAAAATTGCATTGAACTATTTTTATTGATACGTCAATGACACTATCAGAATCAGATGAGAATTAGCTGATTAATGGCACTAATGAATCTCATATTTGATGAAGTTTTCATCTCTGGTTCTGTTTATCACCGTGAAGCTGCTTTAAAACAATCAGTCCTGTATAACGAGCTGTAGAAATAAGCCTGACCTGATACTCAATGAAATATGTTATCATCAATATAGAAGCAGATATTACACTGTAAAAAATATTTTCAAGATTTGTTATCACAACGTATTTTCTTTTGTCAAATCACCTTTATAATAATTTATTTAGTTGAGATAACTTATAATTTTGAGTTTCTGATGGTCAAATTAATCTCCTTCATTGTATTAACTCACTTTTTCCAGTTCAATCAACTTAAAATTTTAAGGCAACCCAGGTAGTTCAACCAACAATATTTTTTTACAGTGTAGTAATCACAAAATTTTTTTCTTTTGTCAAATCAACTTAAATAATTTATTTAGTTCGGATAACATATAATTTTGAGTTTCTGATGGTTAAATTAATCTCCTTCATTGTATTAACTCACTTTTTTCAGTTCAATCAACTTAAAATTTTAAGGCAACCAGGTTACTTACTTTTTTAAGTTAAACCAACAATATTTTTTACAGTGTAGTTATCACAACATTTTTTCTTTTGTCAAATCAACTTAAATAATTTATTTAGTTCAGATAACATATAATTTTGAGTTTCTGATGGTTAAATTAATCTCCTTCATTGTATTAACTCACTTTTTCCAGTTCAATCAACTTAAAATTTTAAGGCAACCAGGTTACTTACTTTTTTAAGTTAAACCATCAATATTTTTTTACAGTGTACCAACTGATGCTCTCTGCTTCTGGCTGGCCTTAAGGGTCATCAATGAAAGCCCCCAACAGGTGTATTCCACAGTAATCCGTAAGAGTTTATTGTGTGTGTGTGTGTCCAGGTGGAGGTCAGTGTCGTGGCCGTCCAGTCTTTACCCAGAGGAGCCGCGGTGGAGCTCCATGTGATCGCGGTGCAGGACCGTCCCGCGGGTCGAGCGTCCCGTCGCAGCGTCTCACGGGTCCCGGGCGGCTCCGTGGAGTGCCGGCTGCTCCAGTCCAGCTGCGCTCGATACGCCTCCCTGTCTCTGAGCCTGAGTCTCAGCGGGACACACACACCGGCGGCCCAGACCCTCACAGACGCACTGCTGTCCTCCTACCAGAGCGCTCTTCAGAAGACGGAGAACCTCTCGGCTCTGTGCGCCAGGGTTTTCTATAAGAGCCACGACATGTTCGTCACAGAGATCGCCACAGGTACGGCTCACCTCCAGAAATATTTTGATTGTTAAAAAAAAAACTGTGTACAACTTTAAGGCCTGTTCACACCGGGAGGAATTTCGCGCGCGATATTCGTCGACGTTTAACGCCTCGTGACTAAACAATGGGCGCCAATGTGAGTGTTCACACCGACGCGAAAAACGCCACGCGTAAAAAGCGTCATTTTTAAAAAACGCCTCGGGTTCGTTTTTTTGATTTGACGCGCCGCGTCAAAACCTATCTGACCAATCAGATTGGCGGGTTTGCTCACGTGTCTGGTACTTCTGAAGTTACAGTAAAACACAACTTGGGGGCGCTCAAACACAAAACGGTCTTGCCGAGCACACATACGGCAAAGAAGAGATACGATACCTATGGGCAAGATGAATGTCTCGGAGCATAAAGAGCTGTATGATAATATTTATATTAGTATTTCTGTAATAATAGTATAGTATAGGGTGACCAACAGTCCTGTTTTCCCGGGACATGTGTAAAACGGTCACTTTGTGCTTTATAGAAATCGGAGTTGAGATGAGAACTGCATAGTGTCAGTTAGATTTTTGACAAGTGAGTCGCTCTGCCGACTCTTTGTATTCTTTCTTTTATTTTATTTTTCTATTGTGACCAGATGTTTGTTTGTGCTTTCATTCTTGCTCGATCCCCGTGTATGAGGAGGACGAGTGTAACGTTTGAATGGTTTTATTAAACGCGGGGAAATAAAACATATTTGTTACCTAATAATCTTTACCTGGAAAAAGCTAGTTGACAAAGACATAAAACCCACAAAATGACTCAAACTTTAACCAAAATTGTCATATAAATGGAAAACTGATTCAATACCGATACTATCTAGTTGAAATTAAGTCTTTTAAATGTGTTTTCAGACAGAAACTCTTCTAAATGTCACGAGTCACAATTCATCGCCAGATCATAATCAGACCTGACACAGCTAACTGCGCATCTTCTGTTGCAGAAGTTTCTTCCGTGGTCTTCGGGTCCGCGTGAGCCGACGGTGTAGCATATGTTCAGACACATTTATCGAGCTGTCAGTGTTCCTGATGGCCTCGGAGAGAGCCCGGAGCGTCTTCACGGGTCACAGACCAACAATATCACAGCAGATATGAAGACATTCGCCCTCCAACCCTTTCCGTGGGACGGGGAACACGTTCGCTTCACAAAAGCCCGATCTCCTGTCGTGTCTCCTGATATCCTCTCGTGACAGATGCATGTTTGGCTTCTGGACATCCTGGAAACATGAACTGAGAATCTCAGAAACATCTCGTCTGACCTTGTCCAGTGATCATCAGCTCCTGATGTCTTTTAGACACATGCATTTGCATGCACACAGATGTGCTGATAACTACCAAAAATCAGTTTGCATGCAAACCAATAACACGCTAACACAAAGAAAACCACATTTACAAGACTTCCCCTTCTTCCTGTATATTCCACTGTGTGTTCTAGGGCTGTCAGAATGGCTGAAAAGCTCAATTCAAGTGACAAAATTCAAATTCTTTAGGCAATACTTTTATTGTTACAGGGATTAAAGTACTGTATTGTCTCCCATGCCCACAAGAGGGTGCAAGTGAGCACAATAACCAAATATAAACCAAATCAAGCATCGCATCTTTTATTGAAATGAAATGACATTCACTTTTTTTAAAGTGCATTAACTTTTAAAACAATTGTACTTCAATAAAATATAATTTCCTTAATGTGCATGCAAGGAAAAGTAGGTTACTATACTAGTGCATAAAACTGTGGAAGTGCATCATGAGAAAACACACCTCAACAGACGAACTACATGAACACACTCTTGATCTCTGTCGACAGTGTTTCCGCTGATGAACACACACTCAGCTCTGATCGAAGTGCAGGTTTGGTCCAGTTTTTTGCCACGAACTTGGAGGGTTTTCGTCAACAGGAAGGCTTTTCCCGCCATTTTTCTCTCAAACAACAGCGCTATACACTGGATAAACGTCTAGCGTCTTTTGACACACCAAAAAATTTAATGCACGGGTTTTGCATTTTAATGTGCAATTTTATATTTATTTTATTCAGCGAATATTCAAAATTTGAGTTTTTATTTGACAGCCCTACTGTATTCCATTGATCATGTTGTGATGTTAAATAAAGCATTAGAGCCCGACCGATAAAGCATTTTGAAGGCCGATACCAATACAAATATTTTTTGGGTTTTAAAATCCGATATTCCGATATATCGGCCTATATTTTATTTATTATTTTTTTTATTTCAGAAACGTGCAACAAAACATTAACATATTTCCCTAACATTAGATATTTGTAGTTATTTATGAGTTTTAACTAAAATAATATGATAATGCATTTTAAAAAGAAACTTGTTTCTTTTATTGTCACAACAGAACAGACTGATGATAGTGGCATTAGCTAGCTTTATGGTTAGCTAGTCTATGATGATGAGCCATAATTTAGCAATAAATAACGTCATACTGCAAATTGTAAAACATACATTTTCAATATAACGAGGAGAGATGATACGTCTCATTGCTAAAACTGTCACGCTCTATTAAAGAAATACTTCAGTCATATTTGTAAAAGTTAAAAGGACAGTCAGTCGACTACACTGTAACAACGTAACGTAACTATTACTAGCTAATCCCGCAAAACTGGACAAGATAACTCAAATAAGCATGACAAAATTTGTGATAAGAGAACTGATGGAGATGTTCTTTTAATTGTTATTCAAGCAATGTATGTCACGTGACCAACTGAACAGGAACGGTGTAGAGTGCCCTCTGGTGGACAAACTATACAACTCCAACACTGACATGGTTCAAGCGTGTTTCGTCCGTTTTTATTTTATTTTTGAAATATTCATTTATCGGCCATTATAACCGCCAATACCGATAGTTTGGAAAATGCCTAATATCGGCCTGCCGATATATCGGTCTGGCTCTAGCATTAACCCTTTACTGACATTTTAAATCATAGTCAGAAGCGATTCCCGATTCCCAGTGAACTCTTATCTGATGTATATCCAGAATCCAGTTTAAGTTGCATGGGAAAAAGCGTCTGCCAAATGCATAAATGTAAATCTATATATCGCTGAGCAGGTTTCCATGGGATCCTTATTAAAATTAGCCATGGTTTTACTACAAATAGAACAAAACAAACATGGCTATTATAGTTAAACAATGGTAACTACAATTGAAATATGGTTTTGCTACACTAACCATAGTTAACCATGGGATTTGTTGAAAAAAGCTATGGTTAACACTTTTACTATAATAAGGTTAATTTTCGTAAGCGATGGTCTGATGGTAGTTTCCATTGTTACACACACCCAAACACACACACCTTTAGCCTCATGAAAGTGGAGCGGTCCTCCTGATGGCCGATGAAGGTGACCGAATCGCTAATATGACTTGTTTTCTGTGTGATCTGCTGTTGAAAGTCCAACACCACAGGCCTCGAGAACACACTGAGTTCATACTCGACGTGCCATCTTTGACGTGCGGTGTGTGTGTTCTTAATGAAAGAGCCTGATGATTATCAAAAGAGCTTTTACCTTCCAATCTCAGCGTCCCTTCGTTTGTGTGAAGAACTTGTTCACTTTCATAGTTCACACACACACACACACACACTGACCTCGGTACCCCATCGCTGCAGTGCATCGGGCGAACAGGAGAAGGAAAGGTCATGAGATTGAGATGGAGTCGTGACTGTTGAACTGATCATCTCCTCCTCGTTACTGAAGATGCACTCATATCTCATAATCCATCAATCGATGCTTCGACCGTCAATAACACAGCCGGAGAACAATAATGTCACATTTCACTTAGAAAAGACATTCAATGACCATAAACTCGAAAGTCAGCTACAATAATAACTCTAGAGGACAGCATTTTTATTAATATATGCAGTATATTACATATTTATTATATTTATACTCATCCTGTTTAATGTATGTTTCAATCGAGTGTTTATGACGGCTGCCGTTTACATTTATAATTCAAAAAACAAGAAGAGTAGAAACTTAATTTAAAGTCATTAAAAAAGTCATTATAAAAATGTGCAATTTAAACTTTAATATGAAACTTCTTATTTGAGAGTTGATTATTAAATTAAATTTGATTCATTGATTATTAAAAAAAAGTTGATTTTAGTGCATCGCTAGTGATCAGCACTTGTACGCTGTGTGAGTGAGTGAGAAACAGACCGAACTGAATCTGTGTGTGTGTGTGTGTTTCCTTGTGTGTGCATTCAAAGTGTGCTATCCAGAAAGAGTGTGTGTCGCTGTATCAGGTGACGCTATTCATTATTTGACTTTAGTGGAGATCAGAAGAGCGTCTGAATCCCTCCTGCGCTTACAAACCTTCCCGATCAATCCCACCGGAGCCTCTACAAGCTGCTAATCTGTTGCAAATGGCTAACTAAAGATTTTCTGCTCCTCTGTGTATTACGCGCGTGTTTAGTACCGCACTGACCGTATGTCCACACACACACACACACACACGCAAGCTGTCGAGGATCTAAGAGGGTCAATACTTCAGGAATGTGCTGGAAGGGTTAAGCAGAATTGAGCAAGCACTTATGATGACTTGTGTGAAGCGTGACCTCTGACCTCTGTGTATTGTGTCCGCAGGGCTGGAGCGGTGTCTGAGCGGATCTGGTCTCGATGGATCCGGTCCCGCTGTGGTGCTGGTTCCGGTTGAGGATCTGCCGGGTCGTGTTCTCCTGCTCGTGTCCTGCTGGCTCAGTGTGTAGACGAGTCAAACCTGCTCAGATCTAGACCTGCAGTCAGTGCCGCTCTCATTCAATGCATATCTGTGTTTTTTAAAGTGACAGTTCACCCAAAAATGAAAATTATCCCATGATTTACTCACCCACAAGTCATCCTAGGTCTATATGACATTCTTCTTTCAGTCTAACACAATCGGAGTTATATAAAAAAATATCTTTATATTGGCAGTGAATGGCTGTTTCTGATTTGAAGTCCATAAAAGTGCATCTGTCCATCATAAAAGTGCATCTGTCCATCATAAAAGTGCATCTATCCATCATAAAAGTGCATCTGTCCATCATAAAAGTGCATCTGTCCATCATAAAAGTGCATCTGTCCATCATAAAAGTGCATCCATCCATCATAAAAGTGCAATCTGTCCATCATAAAAGTGCACCTATCCATCATAAAAGTGCATCTGTCCATCATAAAAGTGCATCTGTCCATCATAAAAGTACATCTGTCCATCATAAAAGTGCATCTGTCCATCATAAAAGTACATCTGTCCATCATAAAAGTGCATCTGTCCATCATAAAAGTGCATCTGTCCATCATAAAAGTACATCTGTCCATCATAAAAGTGCATCTGTCCATCATAAAAGTGCATCCGTCCATCATAAAAGTGCATTTGTCCATCATAAAAGTGGATCTGTCCATCATAAAAGTTCATCTATCCATCATAAAAGTGGATCTGTCCATCATAAAAGTGCATCCGTCCATCATAAAAGTGCATCCGTCCATCATAAAAGTGGATCTGTCCATCATAAAAGTGCATCTGTCCATCATAAAAGTGGATCTGTCCATCATAAAAGTGGATCTGTCCATCATAAAAAGTGCATCTGTCCATCATAAAAGTGCATCCGTCCATCATAAAAGTGCATCCGTCCATCATAAAAGTGCATCCGTCCATCATAAAAGTGCATCTGTTCATCATAAAAGTACATCTGTCCATCATAAAAGTGCATCTGTCCATCATAAAAGTGCATCTGTCCATCATAAAAGTGCATCTGTCCATCATTAAAGTGCATCTATCCATCATAAAAGTGCATCCATCCATCATAAAAGTGCATCTGTTCATCATAAAAGTGCATCCGTCCATCATAAAAGTGCATCTATTCATCATAAAAGTGCATCTGTTCATCATAAAAGTACATCTGTCCATCATAAAAGTGCATCTGTCCATCATAAAAGTGCATCTGTCCATCATTAAAGTGCATCTATTCATCATAAAAGTGCATCTATCCATCATAAAAGTGCATCTGTCCATCATAAAAGTGCATCTATTCATCATAAAAGTGCATCTGTCCATCATAAAAGTGCATCTATTCATCATAAAAGTGCATCTGTTCATCATAAAAGTGCATCTGTCCATCATAAAAAGTGCATCTGTCCATCATAAAAGTGCATCTATTCATCATAAAAGTGCATCTGTTCATCATAAAAGTGCATCTATCCATCATAAAAGTGCACCTGTCCGTCATAAAAGTGCACCTGTCCATCATAAAAGTGCATCTATCCATCATAAAAGTGGATCTGTCCATCATAAAAGTGCATCTGTCCATCATAAAAGTGCATCTATCCATTCATAAAAGTGCATCTATCCATCATAAAAGTGCATCTGTTCATCATAAAAGTGCATCTATCCATCATAAAAGTGCATCTGTTCATCATAAAAGTGCATCTATCCATCATAAAAGTGCATCTGTCCATCATAAAAGTGCATCCGTCCATGCATAAAAGTGCATCCGTCCATCATAAAAGTGCATCCGTCCATCATAAAAGTGCATCCGTCCATCATAAAAGTGCATCCGTCCATCATAAAAGTGCATCCGTCCATCATAAAGTGGATCTGTTCATCATAAAAGTGGATCTGTCCATCATAAAAGTGCATCTGTCCATCATAAAAGTGCATCTGTTCATCATAAAAGTGCATCCGTCCATCATAAAAGTGCATCTATTCATCATAAAAGTGCATCTATCATCATAAAAGTGCATCTGTTCATCATAAAAGTGCATCTATTCATCATAAAAAGTGCATCTGTTCATCATAAAGTGCATCTATCCATCATAAAAGTGCACCTGTCCGTCATAAAAGTGCCACCTGTCCATCATAAAAGTGCATCTATCCATCATAAAAGTGGATCTGTCCATCATAAAAGTGCAAATCTTTCCATCATAAAAGTGCATCTATCCATCATAAAAGTGCATCTATCCATCATAAAAGTGCATCTGTCCATCATAAAAGTGCATCTATCCATCATAAAAGTGCATCTATCCATCATAAAAGTGCATCTGTTCATCATAAAGTGCATCTATCCATCATAAAAGTGCATCTGTTCATCATAAAAGTGCATCTATCCATCATAAAAGTGCATCTGTCCATCATAAAAGTGCATCTGTCCATCATAAAAGTGCATCCGTCCATCATAAAAGTGCATCCGTCCATCATAAAAGTGCATCCGTCCATCATTAAAAGTGCATCCGTCCATCATAAAAGTGCATCCGTCCATCATAAAAGTGCATCCGTCCATCATAAAAGTGGATCTGTTCATCATAAAAGTGGATCTGTCCATCATAAAAGTGCATCTGTCCATCATAAAAGTGCATCTGTTCATCATAAAAGTGCATCCGTCATCATAAAAGTGCATCTATTCATCATAAAAGTGCATCTATCCATCATAAAAGTGCATCTGTCCATCATAAAAGTGCATCTGTCCATCATAAAAGTGCATCTGTCCATCATTAAAGTGCATCTGTTCATCATAAAAGTGCATCCGTCCATCATAAAAGTGCATCTATCCATCATATAAAGTGCATCTGTTCATCATAAAAGTACATCTGTCCATCATAAAAGTGCATCTGTCCATCATAAAAGTGCATCTGTCCATCATTAAAGTGCATCTATTCATCATAAAAGTGCATCTGTCCATCATTAAAGTGCATCTGTTCATCATAAAAGTGCATCCGTCCATCATAAAAGTGCATCTATTCATCATAAAAGTGCATCTATCCATCATAAAAAGTGCATCTGTCCATCATAAAAGTGCATCTGTCCATCATAAAAGTGCATCTGTCCATCATTAAAGTGCATCTATTCATCATAAAAGTGCATCTATCCATCATAAAAGTGCATCTGTCCATCATAAAAGTGCATCTATTCATAATAAAAGTGATCTGTCCATCATAAAAAGTGCATCTGTCCATCATAAAAGTGCATCTGTCCATCATAAAAGCATCTATTCATCATAAAAGTGCATCTGTCCATCATAAAAGTGCATCTATCCATCGAAAAGTGCATCTGTCCATCATAAAAGTGCATCTGTCCATCATAAAAGTGCATCTATCCATCATAAAAGTGCACCTGTCGTCATAAAAGTGCACCTGTCCGTCATAAAAGTGCATCTGTCCATCATAAAAGTGCATCTGTCCATCATAAAAGTGCATCTATCCATCATAAAAGTGCACCTGTCCGTCATAAAAGTGCACCTGTCCGTCATAAAAGTGCATCTGTCCATCATAAAAGTGCATCTGTCCATCATAAAAGTGCACCTGTCCGTCATAAAAGTGCACCTGTCCGTCATTAAAGTGCATCTATTCATCATAAAAGTGCATCTATCCATCATAAAAGTGCATCTGTCCATCATAAAAGTGCATCTATTCATCATAAAAGTGCATCTGTTCATCATAAAAGTGCATCTGTTCATCATAAAAGTACATCTGTCCATCATAAAAGTGCATCTGTCCATCATAAAAGTGCATCTGTCCATCATAAAAGTGCATCTATTCATCATAAAAGTGCATCTATCCATCATAAAAGTGGATCTGTCCATCATAAAAGTGCATCTGTCCATCATAAAAGTGCATCTATCCATCATAAAAGTGCATCTGTCCATCATAAAAGTGCATCTGTCCATCATAAAAGTGGTAACCAAGATATGGTGGATAGATGCACTTTTATGAAACTCCTATTCTAACCACAGGTCGAGATCTGTCACACACACACACACACATCTCTGCGATGCTGTTTGCGGATGTTCGTCAGAAATATAGTTTCAGGAAACACCGACTCGTTGAAGTATGATAACGACAGAACTAAAGGTTGGGGAAACACAGGCCGGATCAGATCTGGAATCAGTGGCGCTCTCGTCCTCTGCAGATTTGAGTGTTTGTTAAAGAGTTTGTTCATCCATTGATTATTCTGTCATCATTTACTGTCCTTCAGTCCTGCTCTTCTCCAGTGAAAGACATCTTGACCAGGCAGATTTTTCTTCCAAATGGACTTTGACTGAATGCAACTTCCAAAAGACATTAGATAGTTAATATCCATGGTTATGCTTACAGGTCCAGAATGATCAGATCCTCAAGGTCATCACCATTCAGTCAAGGTCACCGTTTTTGGTGCTTTGATGCAGTTTTTTTATAAGGCTGGTGGGGGAATCGGTCCACAATTTTACAAAACATTATTTCTTTTAACACAACACGACCTATAAGTTTAGTAGCATCATGTCATGGATTTTTAAAAAATATATTATTTTAGGTTTATTATTTTAATATTATATATTATGTTCACTTGTAATGATAATAAAGCTTTTTGCACAAAAACAAATATGTTTCTTGCATAGTATTTTTAGATGTGTGTACTGTACTTTGTATTTTTTTGAAGACTGAATCCATGCAGGACTTTAAATGTTTACGTGTATGTTTACGCAAAAGTCATGATGCCATGTTGCAAACAGCTACAGTAAGAGTTAATAATGTGTGATTTCACTTTGGTTCATAATTCAGAATGAGTTTAAAAAGAATGTATTTGGACCTGAAGACAGTTAGCCTACATTGAAAACTTAAGAAAGGTTTCAGTAATCATATTATATATATATTGCTTGTGGGATTGGTTTTTTTTCCCAATGACACACATGAAGGCCGATCACTGTCGAGTTAATTCCAATATTTCGTTTAATTTTGCTTGGGTTTATTATAAGAAAAAATGCTCTAATTGAGTTATGAAGGATGTTTGAGACACATGATGAGGAAAAATTACAGAAGTATTTTTTAATATTTAATTTATTGTATTACTCGCCTATTTCTTCACGTGTGTGTGTGTGTGTGTCATAGACAGTATAAGAAGGTGTGTGTGTGTGTGTGTGTGTGTGTGGTGTGTGTGTGGTGTGTGTGTGTGTGTGGTGTGTGTGTGTGTCATAGACAGTATAAGAAGGTGTGTGTGTGTGTGTGTGTTTAGACTTTAGAGGACAGTCAGTATTCAGTGGAGTGTGTCGCCCTCGTGTGGCCACTGTCAATTTTGCTCTTTGAAAATATCACATTAAGCTGCAAGATATTGTGAAATAGTACTATATATAAATGTAAATCAATAAGATCTTCATACAGCAGATACTTACATAAAATGCATATAAGTATCAATATCTGCCAATAATGTCTTAGCAAGCTGATATTTATTAAATGCTTAGTTTAATGATCAAAGTTCTAGTTTTAAATCATATAATGAAATGCAATACAACGATTGAGAGATGAACTAATAAACCTTCCTCAAAAGCCTGATGATCATATTTGATGCTCATGATTTTTTCTATAAATGATGTTTGATAATAAAGTAAAGCGAAGCTGCTTCAGTCCAGCTGAAATATTACTAACAATATCAAAGTTCTTCCTGCGTTTCCTTGATAAATCAGGGCAGTTTTGACACAGAAAGACTCGAGCTGAAGGAGGACGTTTGTACAATTACACTGAAAGACTTTTACTAGATAAAAGAGTGTAAACTCTGTCTCAGTCAGAGACAGAAGGACTGGGGAGATCGAGTGCAACAGGTCGTCGTTTATCAGATCATGTTACCTTCAGCCGTTACTTATTCACGATAGCCTCGAGTTTATTGCTTTTATAAAACGGTTACCACACAATAAAAATATTAAAGTAAAAAAAAAAAAACATCTATTAATGCAACTTTAATGAAGCAAAATCACTAAAAGCCTTCCTTCCGCTAGAAAAAAAATAGTCCCTGACCGTGAACAGCAACGTTCCAACATGAGAGTTGCGCAGTGATACACAGAACCGTTGGGTTGGGTGAAGCGGTCATAACCATCGGTGTTTATCATGAATAATGTCTCTGCTAAAGCACAGCTATTGACCAATCAGAATCAATGATTGGAACTAATCATTTTATAATCATAATTAGACGTGTGCCGGTGTGTGTGAATCAGAATATGATACAGCAAGCTTTATAGGGTTAATGATATCCGGTTGTTCACTTTAAATCGTCAATATTTCAGCTATATTGATTTGCATAGGCTATGTTTGTCAGCTGTAATGAGTTTGTGATCTTGATTCTCTCTGTCAGAATGTGTGATGTTTGCCTCCTGCTCGTCAGATCATATTCTGACAGCTCATTTACTCGCTGTAATATGATTGTTTATGAGAAACTCGTCGTCAGCGGTTATGAAGTACAGTAATGTATATGGACAGAGCTGATGTACAGCCGTCGACACAGATCAACACAATGAGGACATCACGTCAAAAACAATCAAAGAGGCACTCAAAACAAAAGTATTTTTTCAAGATTTACGCATTTTCAATTAATAATACAATATTCCATCAAACTGAATAATCCTTACACATTTTTCATTTTGCGAATGAAGAATTTTAAATGAGCAACAACAACAACAACAAACGAACACATTTTGTATAAAGCTTATTGGAACAAGGACTATTTCGTTTATTATGTTATGTTTATGTTAACTGACTATATAATAAATGCAATGTTGCGACCAGAGCCGTAGAGAGTGCGACTAGAGTAAATAAAGCAGTTCCAGTAAATAGAGCAGTTCCAGTAAATAAATATATAATAAAAGTGTTATGTTACTGTAACTGAATTTAGTCATTCTTGAGTTCGCATTGAATTGATCACAACACATGGGATGTTGAAGAAAACTTTTCTTGACACGAGTTTGTGAAGCCAACATTCTGACGAATTTAATTCTATTACTTTTTAACATAATTAATTTAATTATTGAATTATTATTCATCGAAATATTTCACTTAATATTTTTTTACTACATTTGTTAAATAAATAAAAAATATATGCTGGCGCTCTATTTTGAAGTAAAAGTCAGTGAGTAGCGTGAAACCGAGTCACTTCCGGTTCCTGCATCGCTTGTTGTTGTATCGTGTGTCGACTCTCAAAGATTCATTCGATTCGCTTTATATACATACGTTATTGTTCAAAACAAACAAATGAATCGATTCCCTATCGGAAATGACTCCCAACAGCAACTTTGTCTTATGGAGTTCAGTTAGGGAAAGAAGAAACGGGGCACAAGGAAAGTAGTTTAATCTAATGTAACTTAAAGACGAAGAGTGTGTGTGTTTACGCGCGAGTTTTGTAGTGCAGATGTGTGTGATTTGAGTGGATCTGTGAGGTGAACTGAAGCAGGCCCAGATTAAACACGCGTGACAGTGTGAGTGTGTGTGTAAAATGTCTCTGGAGGATTATGAGAGGCATTACGCCTCTTTAAACTCAGAGACTGGATGTGAATCGGTCAATGGAAGATCGACAACATCTGGAGCTTTCGCTGGAGAAGAGGAGAAACTGCATTACATCCCCATTCGAGTGCTGGGAAAGGGCGCCTTCGGGGAAGCGACTCTCTACAGGCGCACTGAGGTCAGCAGCTCTCAATATGATTTGTATTTATTAATATCTATAATCTACTCCGATTCCGCAGCAATTAAGAGCACACGTCACTCATTTCTGCTCCGATTTGGGTGTTACAGCCACGCCCACTCTTCAGCTGAAGGATGGGCCATAACAGACTTTTTTTTCAAATTTGATATAATACTGATACTTTTTGTTTCAAATGATGCTGATACTTTTGTTGCATTTAACGATACAGATACTTTTGTTGAATTTGAATGATACTAAATACTTTTGTTGCACTTTAAAGTTACATACACTTTAGTTCCTTTTAAACAATATACTGATAATTTTTTGCATTTTAGTGATACAGATACTTTAGTTGCATTTTAACGATATCGATACTTTTGTTACATTTTAATGATACAGATACTTTTGTTGCATTTAAATGATACTGATACACTTGTTGCATTTCAACGATACCAAAACTTTTGTTGCATTTTAATGATACCGATACTTTTGTTGCATTTTAATAATATCTATACTTTTGTTGCATTTGAATGTTTTTCAATACTTTTGTTTTATTTAACGTTGCATATATTTTTGTTTCATTTGAATTTGCTTGCATTTTAACAATATAGATGCTTTGGTTGCGTTTAACTATATAGATACTTTTGTTGCATTTTAACGATACAGATATGTTTGTTGCATTTTAACAATATCAATGCTTTGTTACATTTTTACAATGCAGATACTTTTGTTGCATTTTAACGATACATATACTTTTGTTGCATTTAATGATACAGATAATTTTAATGATTTCTGAAATGGGTATGTGCATTTGATTTGAAATAATGTTCATGTTTAGAAAAAATATAACTAAACTTAATAGACTGAAAAACTGTTTTCTTGTACTACTGTATAGTCCAGTCATTTTATGAAAAAAGGATGAACAAATTGCAACAGAAGCAAACTCAACTGATTTTGTATCCTCAATATGACCTGAGTAAAGAAAAAAAATCCCATTTGGGGAAAGTTTAGAAAAAGACCCAAATATGTCCCATTCATTCGCATATTCATTCTTTTTCTCATGAGAAAAGGGTAAACATTTTAACCTTTAGATATTATTATGAAAATCACTGAGTTGATTACTTACATCAAGACAAACAAAAAATGTATTACAAGTTTTTTGCAATTGTTTGTTAACATGGTCAAACGGTGCATAATATGTATTAGCTCATTGGCATAATTACCAAAACATATCTATCTTTTTTTAGCTTTTTTTTTATAACTTTTTTAATTTTTGCACCTTAAAATTACAACAACAAAAAAAAGACAATGATAATAATAACAAAACATAATATATAAACAAAACAAAAAATATTATACATTTATTGATGTGCAGGAAGAGGCAAAAAAAAACCCAACTGGGCTTATACAACGCCTCCACCCATAGACAAAATAACAATAAAATCAAAAACAAAAAAAAAACATAAACAAGCAAAAAAAAAATACTGCATAACAATAAACTAGTGAAATACATATATCTATAACTCACACACAATAATACACGCATACACATATATGCGTACATACACATAATAACATGACAAAATTGAATGACAATTACAGTAATAGGAAAAAAAAAATATATATATATAATCAGAACATAAAAATAGAATAGTTTCTATATTAAAAAATTAGAACAGCAGTTAAATGGGCTTTTAAATATCTTTTGTAACATTTTAATGAGGAGGAGTTTATTGCTAGATGGGAAACGCTGTTCCATAATTTGGGACTGCTAAATCTGACCTCTGCTCGTAAGAAACTTTGGAAGGTAAAGATCTAAAGATTGACGAGTTGAATAAGAGTGAACCTGTGAGTTAAATTTAAAATAAGTCATAAAGTGCATAATTAAAATATACCTAATAAATAAAAACACATATTTGAGTGATATAAATATCATACACAGTTAGTATCTGAAGATTCTGAAATAAAGGCACAGATGAAGAATGTGACTCGGATCGGGTTGCAATCCTAACAAAACGTTTCTGAAGAACCAAAATTCTATGAAGTGCAGAAGGAAAAGTGCTTGCCCAAACTATATTACCATATGAAAGATATGGATAAATTAAACTGTAATAAAGTGTAAGAAGACGGTTTGTAGTAATCAGGTTGCTAATCCTCCCAATTATACCAGTAGATTTATTTATTTCCTTGCTAACCCAGTCAATTTGAGTTTTCCAGTTCAAGTTCTCATCAACAAAAATTCCAAGGAATCTTGTTGTTGAAACTTCTGATATCTCCACAGTCTCCATTTTGGTCCTTAGAATATGATTTTTTTCCCTCTAAAAATTATATAATTCGATTTTTTTTGTATTCGGCGATAACTTGTTTATTCTGAACTATGCAGTTAAGCTATTATTTACATTTTTAATCAGACAATTAAAGTTAGAATGTGAATAGACTAAAGTTGTGTCATCTGCAAACATTATTGGACAAAGAATATTTGACACATTTGATAAATCATTAATATAGATAAGAAATAATAATGGACATTTTTGGGCTATATCAAATGAGTTATTAAAAGAATTGTCACCTTCATAAAAAAACTGAAGGTAATTCTGAATCTCTATGCAACAGCTAATTTATAACTTTCCATGTGGTTTTATTTGCACGCCTCTTACATTTTTCACAGAAATATCTCTTTTTTTGACAATCTAATGTAATGAGTATATTTATTTCTACAAGATGTATAAGCACCATGGGTAAGGGGTGTAAGATTTGAAATATATTTTTTGTACAATTTATTCTTTTTCTTCAGCATCTTCAACAAGTCAACTGTAAACCAAGGCTTACTAAAGGCCTGGCTATATTTCCTAGTAAAACTAATAATTGGAAAACATTCATTGAAACGAGCACTAATAATTTTCATCTAAACTTTGGGTTTATCAGGTGAAAATGTTGTTTTGAATCTTGTTGACATATAACAGTAAAAGACTTAATGTTAAGGTCAGAATGGAACCCATTTAGGCTATCCATGAACATTAATACAAGAAGAAGTACTTTAGAAACCAGCCTTTATTAATTATTATTGTAGAGATTGAGTGGCAGTGTTGTACTACTCGAGACTCGGACTCGGTCTCGAGAGCATATTTTAATGGTCTTGGTCTTGTCATGGACTCGTGTGCATTTGGACTCGGAATTGACTCGTACTCGAACATTTTTTTTTTAGGACTCGGACTTATTCCAGAGTCCACTCGAGTTCAATTCAAAATATTTTTCATGATTATTAATGTATGATAATAAAATATTTCTTGACACGCCCAGTGATTGGTGATTTTCTAGTGCGCAACTGCGCATGACAAATTGTAATAAAATTACTTTTAACACCACCTACTATGTGGCCTTTTTACCCTAAACTGATCATATTTTTTAAACTCTAAATAAATTCAGTAAAAAAAAAAAAAAGGATTTCTCTAAGTAAATAAAAGTAAATTAGGTGATCAACCCTCACTGGTCTCGACTCGGACTCGACCGTCTCTGGTCTCGGACTCGACTCTTTATGGACTCGGACTCGAGTGAGGTGGTCTCGACTACAACACTGTTGAGTGCATTGTGTACGACACGTAATTAGATTTTTTTTTATTTCACCTATCTTTTTTGCCTCCTGTTCTTCCCTCAGACTCATCCGCCACTGACCCAGCCCCAAACCCCGTCTCTGCCATGATCATTAATAAAGGCTGCTTTCTAAAGTACTTCTTCCTGTATTAATGTTCATGGGTTGCCTAAATGGGTTCCATTCAGACCTTAACATTAAATAGTTTACTGTTACACGTCAACAAGATTCTACAAGACATTTTCACCTGCTATACCCAAAGTTTAGATCTGTTTGTGTATTTATGCAAATGAGCACATATGTAATTAGATTATGCACCGTTTGTCCATGTTAACAAACAATTGCTAAAAACTTGTAAGACATTTTTTTGTCTTGATACACTTTCAGAAAAAAAGGTACAAAAGCTGTCACTGGGGCTGTACCTTTTAAAAAGGTACACTTTTGTACCTTAAGGGTGCATATTGGTACCTTAATGGTATATTAGCACCTAAAATGTACATATCAACACTTAAAATGTACATATTAGCACCTGAAATGTACATATTACCACCTAAAATGAACATATCAACACTTAAAATGTACATATTAGTACCTGAAATGTACATATTAGCACCGGAAATGTATGTATTAGCACATAAAATGTACATATTAGCACCAAAAATTTACATATTAGCACATAAAATGTACATATTAGTACCTAAAATGGACAAAACTGTACCTTTTGAAAAGGTACAGCCCCAGTGACAGCTTTCGTACCTTTTTTTCTGAGAGTGTATAAGTAATCAACTCTGGATCCTGTGTTGAATAACTCTCTGGTTCTGTGCAGGATAACTCTCTGGTGGTGTGGAAGGAGATCGACCTGAACTGTCTTTCGGATAAGAAGCGCAGAGACGTGATGAACGAGATCAGCATCCTCTCCATCCTTCAGCACAACAACATCATCGCTTACTTCAACCACTTCATGGACAAGAACACACTGCTGATCGAGATGGAGTACTGCAACGGTACTACACACACACTTTCACTCGCACTCACACACACTCACTCACTCACTTAAATACTTACTCACTCACTCACACCAAGGTCTGAATGTGTGTGTGCAGGTGGAAACCTTTATGACAAGATTAACCAGCAGAAGGGAGATCTGTTCAAAGAGGAGGTAAGTTACGGTTACACACACTCACACACTGAATTCGTGAGTTCACGCTACACACACACGCACACACACATACACTGAGCTCAGAGCTGCTTTACACCTGAGCTTCTGTTGTCCACAGGTGGTGGTGTGGTACTTATATCAGATCACCGCAGCTGTGGCTCACATTCATAAAGCCGGTATCCTCCACAGGTAAACACACACACACACACACACACACACACACACACACGTTGCTCCAGTATTCGTTGGAAGCCAAAATCAAAATTAAAATTGAATTAGCAGTCACAAAGCCCTACTTTGATTTGATTTGATTTGATTTGAGATCTTTATTTTGAACATGTAAATAATAAATAAAAATACAATTATTAATCAATGAAACAAGGAATATTAATTAAAAGAAACAAAACAAAAATGAACAACAAAGTAAAAAAAATCCAAACTTTCCAATACTTGAAGAAAAACAAAACAAACAAAAAACAACCCTCTATTTACATGTGCAAAAAGGAGTAGGAAGAAGTAAAACTTATGTACCCTTTATACCATATTTAAACAAATACCTAAAAAAAAAAAAAAAAAAAAAAAAAATCTAAATATGTAATCAATCTATAATCCATGAAAGTATTGATTCAGAAGTTCTATACACATAAGGATGTTTATGTGTTTATACTACAGATGTATTTAATATAAGCTCAAGTTAGCACTGTGTTTCTCTGTAACTCTGGAATATAATTTCTTTGAACATCTTTTTAAAATGAATTATGTTTGGACATTGCTTAAATTCATTATTTAGTTTATTCCACAACTTAACACCACAGACAGACAAACAGAAACTTTTCCTAGTTGTTCTACTTTGTATGATAATCAGTTGATTATATTGATTTCAGCAGGGATTGAGAGCTCTGAATAGTGTGTGTGTGTTTGAAGGGACATCAAAACGCTGAACATCTTCCTCACTAAAACCAACCTGATCAAGCTGGGGGATTATGGGCTGGCCAAGAAGTTGGACTCGCAGTACTCCATGGCTGAAACCGTGAGCCTGCGCAACTTTTATATTATTATTATTATTATTATTATTGGTCTGGTCAGCTGGTTTATGATCTGAACAGCATCTCTGCGCTCTAATAACTCACATCATGGTGTCTGTGTGAAGGATAATGCCTTATTTTACTATAATTTTAGGTATTTTATTTCTATATATATGTATATTTTAAATGTCATTTAGGCTTATTATTAAAAATGTTGCCTTGATAACCAGATGAAATAAAATAAGTTTGTTTTTTATATATATTTTTTATTCCAGTTTCATGTAACAGGTGTTTTTTTGTTTTTTTTTTTTGTTTGTTTTTTGTAGTTTACTGAACTATAATAATAACCTTGGTCCAGTTCTGTGTGCTTCATTTCATCATAATGACCTGCACAAACTGATTATCAAATAAATGCATAACTGGACCTGTTGATTAGAGTTTCCCAGACTGTCTACACTGCAAACAATGCCCTTGAAACAAGCATGATGTGCTTAATATATAATATATAAAGTGAACTAAAATGGGGAAAGCAAAACTGACTTAAAAATAGCATAAATATCCAGTCACTAATAAATGCTATTGGATCTCAACTAGACAAACATGCTTAAAACTGCAGTTTTTACTAATAAATACATTTAAAACTAGAATATTTGATCTTAAAGGAGCAATGTGTGACTTTTAGCGACATCTAGTGGTTCGGTTGCGAGTTTGCACCAGGTTTGCACTAAGGGCTCAGCCCACTGCTCACCCCTCCCTTTCGTAGAAGCTACGGTTGCTAAAACAGGACAAACATCTCGTTGGCTGAGACAGCAGAGAATAGCCAGAGTAAGCCAAGAGTGTGTAACATTGTCACTGTTTCTGTACCACAGTCCATTATAAACCACATCATGAATACTGTCTGTTTACAAAGCCATAGTCAGGTGAGGATCAAGGGTTTTAATATATAATTTAATAAAATAATAATCAGCTGATTGTCTCACAAACGTAACCAGCAGCACATTTCTCCCCACATACTGTAGCAAACCCATAATACAGCGAGGGAGCAGCTATATATTTTTTCTAACAGGGTAGTAATAGTTTAGCTGGCTAATATGAGCTGTTACTGTGGCTGAGCTGGGACGCGTCCGCATGAGTCCAAAGGTCGGAAGTGCGCGAGCTGTTACAATCATGTCATCTCCGCATCCCATAGATACTATTTACTACACAATAGGCTTTTTTTCTCTGATTTTTAAAATTCTTCGCGATTGACTTTAGTGATAAAAGACTTTAGTAAAAGTCTCTATCGACGGGTTAGTGATTCCTGTAACGTACTGTTTTACGGTCAATGATATGAAATGAATACTAATCATCAGCTGTCTCACGAACGTAACAGCACATCTATCCCCAACATAACAAACCCATAACACAGCGAGGGAGAACTAAGTTACATGAAACAATCCCAACTACATATTTTACACCACTCACAAGGGTAAAGTCACTACTCACGGAGTGTAAGGCTAGCTTCCAGCTTTCCGCTACTTCTCTTTCAAGGTAGTGATGAAACGCGTTCTGTAGCGCTGTTTGTTCGCGTTCGGCTACGGTAGGAATATGACGTCACAACATGGCGACCTTCATAGAAGGGGATTCCCTCGGTTATGGAGCTATTAATGTCTCATTCTAAGGTAATAAAAACATTACGGCTAATTAAGTAAGTTCTTTATACACCACTGAAAACATAGTTATGGATGTCATATTGCATTTCTGTTAATAAATACTCAACTTTGTTACACATTGCACCTTTAAATCCAGTCGCTAAAAACACTGTTGTGTCTTAAACTAGACAAACATGCAGTTTTCACTTTTTATAAGCACTAAATAATAAGTCTTTTTAGTGAAGATTGCATTAACTAGAATATTTAACCTTAAATTCAGCTTATTTAAAAATGTTAAGAAATTTTTGAAAATTGAAATTGAAATTGAAAAGATGAAAATTTTTAAAACATCTTAATTATTTTAGCTCACTTTACATTTTGCTTGTTTCAAGAAGGATAATTTTTCCAGGGTAACAATCTTTTTTTTTTTTTTTACTTTTCTTAATTAAGATTCTGGAAATGATCATTTTTAGGGGTGATGCTATTCTTAAAAACAGCACAACAATGTGTTCATAAACGTGCATCTTTTTATCTTTGATGGCATAAAAAACAAGACATATTTCTATGAAAATTAAAGGGTTTAATGGTTAGGGTTAAATATTAAGTAATGAATATGCTAAATTAAAATAAATCCATAATTTTGACATAGAAACAATCAAAATAAAACGGTGAAATGTTTTGTGGGTGACACTTTACAATAGGTTCCATTTGTTAACAATGACAAATACTTGAAAAATGAATTCTAAGATCTGAATGAATACAAATAAAACATTAGAAACTAGATCAATATATGGTCCAATATAAAGCGTTTATTGTTGTCGTGTTGTGTTGAGTAGTGTGTCGGGACCCCGTACTACATGTCTCCTGAGCTGTGTCAGGGAGTCAAGTACAACTTTAAGTCGGACATCTGGGCCATGGGGTGTGTGTTGTTCGAGCTGCTGACCCTCACCAGGACCTTCGATGCCACGGTAATCTCACAGACGTGCATTCACACACTCGCCCATCAGTCTGGAAACCACTCAACGGCGTCTGATGATGTGTTTCCCAGAATGCCCTGAACCTGTGTGTGAAGATCGTGCAGGGCAACTGGACCATGGAGATCAACTCGGACATTTACACGCCTGACCTCATCAAGATGGTGTACGAGTGTTTAGATCAGGTAGCTGAAAGTGTGGCGCTCACTGTGCCTGTCAATCACGCCTGTGGTGATGTCATTCTGACGCTCGTGTGTGTGTGTCGATGTTAAAGGACCCTGAGAAAAGGCCGACGGCGGAGCAGATTCTAGAGCGGCCCGTGATCTCTCGAGTGCGAGCGTGAGTCAATCCAGCACACATCATACACACATTTACCCTCGCATTCACACACTCTTCTGAGGATTCACTCGTAATTACTATTATTCCCAAAGATTTAATAGTAAACCTTTTGTTTTTTCATTTATTATTTTGTCTATTTATTTAAATATTTTATTTATTATATGAATTGTATTTACATTATGTATTTACATTATGTATTTCTTTATTTAAAAATATAAATACCATCAATTTACTTAAGTTTTTAATTTGATACATTTTATGAATTTAATTTATTTATTATAATTTTTTCCCATTTATTTATTAGTTTGTCTGTTTATTTTACATTTATTTACATTTTTATTTTGTTTATTATATAAATTTTATTTAAATTATTTATTTAAATATCATCACTTTACTTTAGTTTTTAATTTGATACATTTTATGAATTTAATTTATTTAATTTATTAATTTTAATTGAATTCCTATTAATCCCAAAGATGATTTAATTTATTTATTGTAATTATTTTCCCATTTATTTATTAGTTTGTCTGTTTATTTTACATTTATTTACATTTTTATTTTATTATATAAATTGTATTTAAATTATTTATTTATAAAGAAATATTAATACAATTTTCTTGGTCTATTTTATACATTTTATGATTTTATTTTAATTAATTTATTAATTTCGATTTTAATTTAAATTTGTATATTAATTCCTATTGTTCCCAACGGTGATTTTATTTATTTATTGTGTGTCTACATTTCATTTACTTATTTATATTAATTTCATTAATTTACTTCATTTTAATTTATTACAAATTTATATTTATTGCCATTTTTATTTGTTGATTTGTTGTAGTATTCATTTAGTTTATTTTATTTATTTATTTAATATTGTATTTATAATTTTCATAATTATTTATTGACTCTATTATATTGTATTTATTTACTTTTAATTTGTATGTAATGTAACTGTGTGTGTGTGTGTTCAGAGAGCTGGAGGACAGGGTTGCGACGCTTAACTCCTCCATCAGGAAACCCAAGTAAGTGACGGCTCGTTTCCCAGCAGTCTTTGCTCTTCCTGCAGTCTGGCTGTGTGTGTCGTGTGTTTCTCTATCCTGGGAAGGCTCACGGCACTTGCCCAGTGTTGTCCTGTTGTTAGTGTGTGTGTGTGTGTCCCAGGCTGAGCACGCCGACGGAGACGTCGGTGGCGGTGGTGACGACGCGCTCGCGGGAGGTGTATTTCTGGGGCGGGGGGAAGTTCACCCCGCAGAAGCTGGACATGTTCAAGGGCGGCAGCAGCGCTCAGCACGTCTGCGCCGGGGAAACACACTTCGCAGTGGTGACCGTCGAGAAGGAGCTGTACACCTGGGCCGTAAGCATGCCCTGATCATAACCCTGCTCCACTTCTGTGCGCTAATCAAATACATCATTAACTGGACCCGTTCTCGACAATACACTCCTGAACAAGTGGGGATTTAGCCCTTACTAGCATGAAGAACAGATATAGACACGACAGACTGCGTAGATTTAACACCCAAACTCTCTTACAGATACAGAAACATGCTTTTAATGTTGAGCACACATTATGCATTTTTTTCCCAAGTGGGATTTTATGCAACAGTTCTACAAACAAAAAGGTAATATTAAGTGGCATACATTTTAGACAGTATTGTTTGTCTTTATTTTGCAGCGCAATATTATTCAAACAAAATCCCGATAAATCGTTCATAATTACAGCACTTGAATGAATGACTGCGGACAGTGACTGAACGCCGGCTTTACTTTCAAACTAAAGGATCACTTGTTTTCATATTTCTCTATTGAACATTGTTTTATTTCAACTATTTTCTAACATTATCTCGTAGCATTATAAATGGCGTTGTAATTGCATTCATGCCTTCATTAAAACATCAGGTGAGTCTCAGTTAGAGTTCGTGATCCGTGTTAGATATTGATAGATCTGGGGCGCTAAAGACCTGAATATCAAATAATAATTGATGAAACATTAACGCATTTAAGGGTTTTTTTCACTGATCTGCTTATTAGCAAGTAAAACTAAATATCTCTGAGTATTATAGTTATAGTAGCCTACTCCTACTTATGTAGTATTGTGGTAAACTAAACCTATAAAAAACATTCTTTAAAAAAAATAAATAAACGTTAACTTAAAATGTAAATTATATAAATATGTCTTAATATTCCAGCATGTATTTTAACTTGATGTACTAATATAAATAAACATAACGTAACTACTGTATATAGACATACTAACAATGGAAAAAAACAAAACGAATTTAAACTATTTGTAAAAACTATAATAGTATTTCAGTGGTACTGAATTGACACTGGTTTGAGTCCCGATCCCATTCATTCAGGAGAAAGAAAACTATTAAATAAAATGGAGATGAAAAGCACAGCAGAATAAAGTAGAAATGAAAACAAAAACAAAGATCTGAAAATGAAATGTAAAACAAAGAAACAGATTGACGGCCCGTTGAGTGCTGGGAACGAAGAGTGTTGGGGTCTGATCTCGTGTGTGTGTGTGTGTGTGTGCGCAGAGCGTTCAGGGAGGAGCGAAGATGGTGGGTCAGCTGGGTCACGGGGACCAGGCCTCGTACCGCCAGCCGCGCCGCGTGGAGCGTCTGCAGGGGAAAGCCATCCGACAGGTGTCCTGCGGGGCCGACTTCACCGCCTGCGTCACCGGTGAGCGACACACACACACTCCACGTCTCCAAATTAAGCAATTTATTCTGCTAGGACGCATTAAACCGATCAAAAGTGACAGTAAAGACATTTATAATGTAGAAAAAGATTTCTATTTCAAATAGATTCATCAATTAATGAATCCTGAAAAATAAAACGTATGACGGTTTCATCATATTAGAATGATTTCTGAAGGACCGTGAGAAAAATCATATACAGGCGATAGTAATTTGATTTAATGTTTAAATCGCCTTTGACCAATAGGTGGCGATATGCCAAAGCATTGCAGAGATACAGCCTCATGGTGCGTTCACACCGGACGCGAATAGCGTGTCAGGCGTGAATGATTTCAATGTTAAGTCAATGCAAAGACGCGTGTTACGCGCATAAAAAAATACTGCGGCGCGAATGAGGCGTAGAGCGCAGTGCGGAAGACGCGCATCAAATTCGCACGAATTGAGCGTCTGGGGGGTTAAGCGCGAATGATTTAGTTAGTGCTATTTGTGCATTCACGCGTTTGATGCGAATTCGTGTCTACCGCCCGAGTTGAAAAATCTGAACTTTGGCGTGAATTCGCGTCTTGTTAACCAATCAGGAGCCTAGCTGCTTGCTCACGTGGTGAAGTGTCTGGATGCTTCAATAAATTATTTTGTAATATGACTAAATGCATGGTGGGATTATGCACAACAAAGCAAATATTTTATCACTTAAAACTTTATTTCAATATACGAGACTGAATGTTATTCATTCCATATCTAGATTATATGAAATGGTATTATGATATAAAGACAATCAACATATGCGCATAAGTTCGTGTCTGGACGTGAGGGAGAGAAAAAATCACAGGACAGGTTAATAACTTTTGAAGGCTGGCTCTATTTATCATCAAAACAAAAATAAATGACCGCTAGATTAGGTGGATGAGGGCGAGGGTGATCCTCGCTCCGATGCGGGACAACAGGTCATCAAACTGGGCGCGGGACAGGCGGAAGTACCGTCATCCAGCGCAGCTCCTGGAGCGAGCAAATGGTGAAAGTAGCCAAACGGTTCGGCTCCGAAGGGTCCGGTGGACACAAATATACGGCGACGATGATCCCCACGCCGCTGGTCTGCTCTCCAGAGTAAATACAGAGCGGTGACTCTCTCGATGAATGCTCGATCGACATAAAAAAAGATGGCCGCCAACGGGTTTTGATTCTGACGTGCGTGTTCATTAAAGTTCAGGCTTGACTCTAATGCTACGTTCACACCGGACGCGAATAGTGCGTCAATTTCGCTCCTGACGCGTCTAGTTTGACGCTTGACCACTTTGTGTTAATTCACGTGTCAAGAGTGAAACTGACGCGCGTAAATTTCGCTTCAAACTTTTGTTTTTACGCGCGTCAGTTTCACTCTTGACACGCGAATTAACACAAAGTGGTCAAGCGTCAAACTAGACGCGTCAGGAGCGAAATTGACGCACTATTCGCGTCCGGTGTGAACGTAGCATTAGAGTCAAGCCTGAACTTTAATGCGGTAAACAAAGCGGTTCTGCAGCTTGCGTAGTGTGTGTGTAGGGCTGATCGGCTCCGGCTGCCGTAGACTTCCAGAGCGGAGGGAAGGGAACGATAGTAAGAGCGGCGACCGTTACGAGAGGTGCCGAAATATAATCAAATCAAATACACAATAGAAATGGATTGTTTGTGGAGACACTGGGAGCGAGTGGTTTGCGTGGGTTCCAGTATTGACGGGCGTGTGCTCTCTCACAGACGAGGATCAGATGTACATGTTCGGCTCGGACTACTACGGCTGCCTGGGCGTGGAGAACGAGCACGGCATGGAGGTGCTGGAGCCGGTGCTGCTGCAGTTCTTCCAGGAGCGGCCCGTCCGACAGGTGTCCTGCGGGGACAACCACGTGGTGGCGCTCACCCAGAGCGGGGACATCTACTCCTGGGGCTGCGGAGAGCACGGTGAGCGCGTCACATGACCACACTGACCATCACTGCTGTTGAGTGACACTGACGGCCTTTCCCTTCGCAGGTCGACTGGGTTTGGACTGCGAGGATGACTTCGCCTCTCCAATGCAAGTGAGAGAAGCTTCACTCCTGTAATCAATCCTTCAGTAACATGATCTAACGATGAAGTATTTATAAATCTCAGTTAAGGTTCACTTCAACCATCACTACTACATTAGTACAATCAAAAGTTGTACCTGGTAATGCTATTTAATGAACCTGAGTTGACATGAACTAACTAACAGGGTTCGGACGCGGTGCTTGACTTGGACTTTTTGAAATGTTAGTTTGGGAAAACCAAAGTCATATTTAAAATATTTACATGTAAGTAGTGTTAAATTTTTTCGACGATACACTATTTTCATGCAAAATTAACGTTGAACAGTGGACACAAAATTATAAACCCAACACTTTTTTGCCCCCATTTTTCACAAGCTGAACTCAAAGATCTAAGACTTTGTGTTTTCTGTGCACAAAAGGCCTATTTCTCTCAAATATTGTTCACAAATCTGTCTGAATGTGTGTTAGTGAGCACTTCTCCTCTGCCGAGATCATCCGTCGCGTATCGAGATGCCGATCAGGTTATTGCACAGGTGTGCCTTAGGCTGTCCACAGTAAATGTGCAGTTTTACTCTATCGCCCCCCTCTGTTTGAATAAGGAAAGCGATATCTTTATCACGCTATCCTTTCAATGGTTACCACAGTGTGCTGTGCTGCACTTTATTAGTTTACCTTTTTTAGAATTTGAAAGATAATAAAGATATTGTTTGATAAGTCCTTGAAGGTCCATGTCTCAGTATGCGTACGAACCCTGTGAAGCGCTGTGTTTATTAAGATAATGTGTTGACTCGCGGTAGGTGGAGGTTCCTAAAGCCGGGATCATCACCTCTGTGTTCTGCGGCAGCGACGGCACCTTCTTCCTCACCGATTCTGGGAAGGTTTTAGCCTGCGGGAACAACGAGCTCAACAAACTGGGTCTGAACCTAGGCATCACTGGGATCAAAAACCACTCGGAAGAGGTATGTCCGTCATTACTCGGCAGCGACCTGAAAACATCAGTATGAGGTGGAAAACACGGGTTTAATCACCGAATCCGGTCATAAAACCTTTATTTTGGATGTATAAATCAAAAGTAGAGATACACATTTAGTCAAATCAAGTCTGTGAATATTAAAGCAGATAGTTGACCCAAAAATTAAAAATAATTGGCTCCTCGTCTAAACACTATTAAAATATTTCAATCCATATACTGTATATTTCAATGAAATCTGAGAGATTTCTGTCTGTCCATTAAAACTCGGTTTAAAACCTTCATAAAGAGATCAAATAAATCCACATGAATCCAAGATCGCTTTATATGATGAGCAGGTTTAATGTAAGCTTTTATTCGCATTGATCAGTTTATTTGCGAGTTAAAAATCATAAATCTAAAAAAAATGATATTGCAATTTTTTTTTGTAATTTTACTGTTGTAATATATTGTTAAGATGTTAAATTTGATCAATGCAGTTGAGTCTACATGGTTTTTGATTTTAAATCCTAATTTAACCATTAAAATGAATAAAATAAAACCGAATATGAGTAAAAGTCAAACTCTAAACAATTTGGTAACTCTTTACTGAAAGTCTTTATGTATAGTGCATTATACAAGTATTTTAATGCATTAATTATTTCTTGTAATGCACCTTATAATGCATTATATAATCTAATGAATAACTGTAACTACATTTATAACACTTATCTAATCACTGAACACACCTTTAGAAAGTAAAATACATTAAAACAACCCCTTTCAGAATCTGCAAACATCATAATGCATTGGTTACAATTTTTTTTTATGAAAAGCATTATGATGTACATAATGAATAGCTTTATAATGCATTATACATAAGGGCTTCAAGTAAAGTGTTACCAAAATTGCAATAAATTATTATAATAACACATGCTTTTTGGTTCCTGGCATTTGATTTAACAGAAAAAAATAGAACGTAAAACCCGACTTTGCTAGATGAGCGCTGTTTAGACTATACGTACTTTATATAGGCAATTAAAGGCCCATAATTATGATTTATGTATTATTATAAATGTGCGCTTAGTCGACCAATGTCTTAAATGGATGACTGTAACATTACCCGACTAGAACATATCTTTAGTGGATTTGGATCAGGATTTTAACAGTTCAATCAAATGTAAGTAACTACGGCTTGTTTGCATTTGATTTAACTGTTAAAATCCAGAGAAATGAGAATGTAAAACCCGACTTTGTTGAATGAGTGTGTTGAGATGTAGTGATGGGATTGTGAGCTGTGTGTGTGTGTGTTCAGAGTTATCAGGGGATCCCGTACACCACCGTACTGTCGCTGGTCAGGCTCCTCTCACGCTTCAAGATCATCTTCATCTCTCCGGGAAAGGCCCACACTGCCGCCATAGACGGTGCGTTTGCTCACACACATCCAAATAATGGTGTTTTTCACACACACACACACACAAAAATATAAAACATTCCATTTCCTTCAATCCTCATTCCTCAGTTGTAAGTCTCTTTGGACTGAGGCGTCTGCTATACGTCTAAATGTGTGTGTGAATGTTGGTGTCTGTGCAGAGCGCGGGCGCCTGGTGACCTTCGGCTGTAACAAGTACGGGCAGCTGGGAGTCAAGGACTTCAAGAAGCACCAGGGTGCGAAGCTGCTGGTGGGGCCCTTCGGGGGGAAGGTGGTGTGCAAGGTGTCGTGTGGAGACGGCTTCACCATCGCCGCCACTGAGGGTGAGCACACATAAAGTGTCCGTCCATTAGTGTAAAGACATTAATCCGTCTATTTAAAGCTGCAGTCCGTAACTTTTTTTAGGTTAAAAATGATCCAAAATGATTTTGAGCGAGTACATATAACCAGCCAGTGTTCAAAACTCCCTGCTTGCTTGATATGATAAACAATCGTTAGATTTAATCAATCGTTAGATTTAATCAAGTGATTTACTGCTATGCTTTTTTCCCCTAAGTTGGTCATGGATGGATTGGGTTAGTGGATAGATGGATGGATAGATGGATGGATATATGGATGGATGGATGGATGGATGGATGGATGGATGGATGGATGGATGGATGGATATATGGATGGATGGATGGATATATGGATGGATGGATGGATATATGGATGGATGGATGGATATATGGATGGATGGATGGATATATGGATGGATGGATGGATATATGGATGGATGGATGGATATATGGATGGATGGATATATGGATGGATGGATGGATATATGGATGGATGGATGGATATATGGATGGATGGATGGATATATGGATGGATGGATGGATATATGGATGGATGGATGGATATATGGATGGATGGATATATGGATGGATGGATGGATATATGGATGGATGGATATATGGATGGATGGATGGATATATGGATGGATGGATGGATATATGGATGGATATATGGATGGATGGATGGATGGATGGATATATGGATGGATGGATGGATATATGGATGGATGGATATATGGATGGATGGATGGATATATGGATGGATGGATGGATATATGGATGGATGGATGGATATATGGATGGATGGATGGATATATGGATGGATGGATGGATATATGGATGGATGGATATATGGATGGATGGATGGATATATGGATGGATGGATATATGGATGGATGGATGGATATATGGATGGATGGATGGATATATGGATGGATATATGGATGGATGGATGGATGGATATATGGATGGATGGATGGATGGATAGATGGATGGATGGATATATGGATGGATATATGGATGGATGGATGGATGGATAGATGGATGGATGGATGGATATATGGATGGATGGATGGATATATGGATGGATGGATGGATATATGGATGGATGGATGGATATATGGATGGATGGATGGATATATGGATGGATGGATGGATATATGGATGGATGGATGGATACATGGATGGATATATGGATGGATGGATGGATGGATGGATGGATGGATATATGGATGGATGGATGGATATATGGATGGATGGATGGATATATGGATGGATGGATGGATGGATACATGGATGGATATATGGATGGATGGATGGATATATGGATGGATACATGGATGGATGGATGGATGGATATATGGATGGATGGATGGATGGATATATGGATGGATGGATGGATATATGGATGGATGGATGGATGGATGGATGGATATATGGATGGATGGATGGATGAATAGATGGATTGATGGATGGATGGATGGATGGAAGGATAGATAGTTAATGGATAGATGGATGACGGGTGGATGGATGGGTAAATTGATTGATGGACGGATGGATAAAAATGGAAAAAAATGGTTTTGTGGCCTTTGAGAATCGATTTTGAATCACCCACATTAACACAGGCGGTGTGTATCTGCAGTCAGACCGTGATGTGTGTGTCCCTCAGATAACCAGATCTTCGCGTGGGGGAACGCGGGGAACGGCCGGCTCGGGATGCCTCCGGATAAAGGCTTCGGCTCGGAGGTGTGTCCGGCTCTGCCTCGGCCCATCTTCGGCTCCTTGCACCACGTGCCGGATCTGTCCTGCCGGGGCTGGCACACCATCCTCATCATGGGTGCGTCTTCACACACTCTCCGTTCACACTGCTTCAGCTAAAGTCTGCCGGACGATGATGTGGAGGCTTTTATGTTAAAGCTACAGATCGCACTCCAATCGACTGATGGGCGGCAACGCGGGTTAAACTATCTCCCGCCAGATGCGTGTACTAGAGGAGTAAATACCATAAGATTTAAAGCTTCTTTTCTGGGGGAATTCATCAAAATTAAATGACAAGCTAAATTTTCTGCCGATTTTCTTGCCACATTGGAGATCATTTAGCTTGTTTTAAGCAAAAAGTCACAGTATTTATTTCCCCAGAAAACAAGACATTAAATCTTATGGCATTTTACTCCTCTAGTAACTGCATCTGGATTTAAGATTTAAACAAAACAAAAATTCTAAGTAAGAAAAGTGCATTTTTTGCAGTTTAGCTAATTTGGCGTGTTATTATATTTCTTCTCTTTGCTGTGACGTTCGTGAAGTGTAATCTGCAGATTTAGCACAATTACTGCGTGGCGTAGTTAATCTGGTTATTTTATTTTATTTTTTGGCTAGTAGAAGTTCTGAATGGCCGGTAACTTAAAAATGAGTGAATGAGTGAAAAAAATCTATTTAAACCCTGGCGGCAACCAGTGCATTGTGGGTATTTTAGTTTCTGGCGGAAGGGAACGTCTATTGAACGCCCATCTGTAAATCCGCTCTTAAGTGAATGTTCGTAGTTTAACTTCCTGTTCATGTTCATTGACAGAAAAAGTCCTGAACTCCAAAACCATCCGCTCGAACAGCAGCGGACTGTCCATCGGAAGTGGTAAGGTCCAGTATTTCCTCTTAATCGTCATTATTTATGTGTTAGTGTTGTTTTACTATAGTTTAGATACTGTTATTTAATCATCAATAACTGTTTTTTATATTAATATTCAGAAATTGTCTTTATTATTTTTTTGTTTTCATTTTAAAATTTTATAAAATTTAGTTGTTTGTCATTTTTATATATATATATATATATATATATATATATATATATATAGTTTTAATACATTTTTATTTCAGTTTTAGTTTGTTATCTGAGTGCATCAAGTTAACTAAAACTAATTGTAAATTTCATTGACTTAAGACTTAACCTACCATGTTTGCTAGGATACTCATCAAGACGTGTGTAGCGTGTGTGTGTGTGTGTGTGTAACGGTTGAGTGTGCCGGTCCGCAGGCCAGTGCTCGACCGCGTCGGTGGATCTGGAGACGGGCTCGGCCACAGACTCAGAGCTGCGCGAGGGGATGCTGGGAGGAACCGCGGAGGCGGATCTGGGGGAGCGGGGTCTGCAGACGCCCGTCTTCTCCATCGACAGCCAGACCGGACAGAGCTCCTGCCCCTCGTGGCTGCGCAAGGTGAAGCCCTCATCCACCCGTACACAACACGACTGAAAGTATAAAGTCATGCCATTAAATATAGCAGGCACTGTATTTTTTGTCTTGTTCAGTGCAAATAGCACTCTTAACCTTCAAATGGTCTTCGTTTCCTGTTTACACTTCTGGGCTTCGGGGTCTACACGACCCCAACAATTGATTAATTGTACAAAAAATATCAATTTTTAATCATACAAATAATTGTTTTTGTTTACTTCTCATCTATTCATTAATGCTGTGTTTTTGGAGATATAAAGTACTTTTGTATCCATATACCACACAATTCCTCACCTACACCATTAGCTTGCATATGAAATATTATTTTTTTTTATGATACATTGCATTTATGCTCTAGTTCTAGGCCTTCATTTCTGTGTAAACATTTTCAGATTTATGTCGGATTTATTTATTTATTTTTTGACACATGAAGAAAATATATTTAGTTTTCATTTCAATGTGGGGTCATATTGACCCCAAAAGACATTTTTTTTACATACCTTCAGAACAACCGAATCAAGCCCAGTTTTTTTTGTGTGTGTCTATAGATAGATAATGAATGAAAAGTCACAAAATCTTATTCCACTGAGATGAAGGGAACCTTTTTTTTTTTTATTAAGTTAAAGTCGATTGGGGTCGTATAGACCCCATGACCCGATTGAGGGCTACAGGTGAAATATTATGCCCCTTTTCACAAGATGTAATATAAATCTACGGCGTCCCTTGAAAGTGTGTGTGAAATTTCAGCTCAAAATTCCCTCAGATCATTTATTATAGCTTGCCGTTTTTGTGTGTGTCTCTTTAAATGCAAATGAGCTTCAGCTCCGCCTCTGTTCAGAAGAGGGCGGAGCCTTTACACAAGCTTCAGAGACTCCGGCAATAACAACAGAGGCCGATCTCACTGATCCAGGATCAGGAGTAACCAGCAGCGAGTGCAGCCTTACGGAGAGACTCAAGGAGAGCTTTACTGGGGCACTGGGGACCCGATTATAGCACTGAAACACGGAAAAAGTTAGATTTTCATGATATTTCGCCTTTTTAAATCAAGACACGTTTACTGGAGAAGCAAAATAACGATATGAATGAAACATGCCACACAGCTTTAGCCATGAAAACAGCCTCAGCTGGCATCACAGTTCCTGCCAATCTTGTACCCTTCAGTTTTCTCTCAGTCATAAAGTCTTCCTTCATGAAGCCTCTCCGTGTGTGTGTGTGTGTGTCTTTGGTTGTGAGTGCAGGAGCTGCTGGACGCAGAGTTCATCCCCTTGCCGAACGATTCCCGAGACTCCTCCGAGCCGCTGCCGTCCTCCTACCCCGAGAGCCACACACTGCCGTACGAGGAGCTGGACCAGCTCAAAGCCAAGAGCCTGATGGTACCGAACGCTCGAAGAGTTAAAGGATTCCTGCATTTCAGAATTAAAACTTCCTGATCATTTACTCTCCCACACGTCATCCGAGATGTTTATATCTTTCCAGAAAAGAAAAAAAATGAAGGTTTTTGAGGAACACACTCCAGGGTTTCTCCATATAGTGTCTTCCAGCGACATTTACAACAAAACACACACGTAATGTGTGTCGCATCACAGTGAGAGCAAGACCAGCATTAGTGGTTAAAGTATATAAATGTGTGTTTTGTTGTAAATGTCGCTGGTTTGTCTAGATCAGACTCTTATTCCTCGGCTGGATCGTGTCGAGACTTTGAAACTCACATCTGACCTTCGACCCGTTGGACCCCATTGAAGACACTATATGGAGAAACCCTGGAGTGTGTTCCTCAACAACCATCTCTTTTCTTTTCTAGAAAGATATAAACATCTCGTATGACGTGCGGGAGAGTAAATCAGGAAGTTTTAATTCTGAAGTGCACTCCTCCTTTGATGACCATCATCAGTCGACTGGTGTTTGTGTGTCTGACGCCGTTGTGTTGTGTGTCCGGCAGCCGACAGCGTGTGTGGATTACACACACAGAGTGGATGAGCGGATGAACGGCGCAGAGACGGGCCGACCCGATCAGAGCTGCTGTGGAGCGAGCGTCGAGCTGGCACACGTACGCATGATGTCCAATATCACACCTGTTACTTTAAAATACATATATGTGTGTATATATATGAAGAGTTCAGATGCAAAAGCTTCTAAATGCCATTTGAAATTTTCTTCTTTAATGATGATTTTTATCAAACTTGTATATTTAAGTTCAGTGATTTCACTTAAATAACAATTAATAGGTAATTATCATTGCCATTTAAGTGAAATCACTGAACTTAAATATACAAGTTTGATAAAAATCATCATTAAAGAAGAAAATTTCAAATGGCATTTAGAGGCTTTTGCATCTGAACTCTTCATATATATATAGATGCTTAAATAAATAAAGGAGCATTAATGCCATGTCATCATTACTGTAACCACGAGAGTACGACTTATAAAAAGCATTCACATCCTTGAAGAAATCAAAATTACAACTTTTGGGAATTTTCTGAGCGCTCCCGTATCACCTGATTAAATTAGGCAGTGATAGTGTTTCCATAAAAAGCAGATCTGAGCTCAGTGAAGCCCATTAATTAACCGTTAGAGAGGATTTTCAGTGATGTATTTCTGATTATGTCACACCATCATCTAACTGAAGTACAAATTCAGAATACACGTACTGTAGTTTCATGATATAGTTATTACAGAATCTACGGTTTAGTAACACTGTGATATAATTGGTTAACTGCATTAGTTAAAATGAACTAACATTTATTAATATTAATTCATGTTTATTGCACCATATACTAATATATATCTCAAATCAGCAGTTGAATCTGTTAACACTAGTTAATGCAGTATCACAACGATCACTTGTGTTTTTATTAGCAAATGCTTTACAATACATATATTGCTCATAGTTAGCTAACGGTAATGAATGAGACCTTATTATTGTAAAGTATTTTTTGGATTTCTGTAAATAATGAATTGTTGGATAAAATCTGTCTTGAAGTTTAAAGTTTTTTTAAACCTTATGTCTAATATGAAAACTCTGGGGTAATAATCGCAATTTGTCCCAGCATATCACTTTCCCTTTAATACAGAGTTCATAAGGTATGATATATTACATATGGCATAGTAAGAAAAAGAGAGTGAATGGCTCTAATATTAATTTTAGAAGGTTTAAAGGTTTATATACATACAGTTTAAGTCTTAAAGCCTTCCCGGAACAGTCAGGTTTGAGGCCAGCTGGAGAATGCTCATGTGTCATTTGCTTTTTAACAAAACATGGCTGTCTAGTAATATTGTCATTTTAAGAAGAATGTTTGGCTAATTTGAATATCAAATATAATTAAGTCATGTGGTGTTTTTCAGCTCAGAGAAACCGTGCACCGGCAGGAAGCTCAAATCCAGATGTTACAGAAGCAGGTCAGTTCAGAGCGAGTGCTGTGAGAGATAATGGGCAAATGAGTTTGCACACTGATGCATGTCTCATTCCTATTTTGCACCCACGCAAAGGGAGCTTTTCACGTCGGTAAACTAGGGAATGAACTTGCGCTCCCTGGGCGGGTCGGCGCAAAAAAGCCCCTTTTCCACCAAAGCATTTTGAGAGCCGGTTCGGATCCGCTGCCTGCGCTCGAACCAGTTCTTTGTGTTTGGACAGCCAAAGAACCGGTTCTCGGCCGGGAAAACTGGTTCCAAAGCGGCACCAACTCTTTGCTGGACTAGAACCGTTGTTTTAGCACGTCATGTTTACGTCGAGGGCTGGGGCGGGTTTAGATGTGCTTTAAACATCTTTTCTGACCATCGCAAAGCCAGGAGAAATTGCAGAAACACGCAAGCGTTTTTATTGATTTTTTTATTTTTTTTATTTGAAACATAAGCAAAGAAGAAAACAGTCACGATATAGAACAAATAAATGTAAAGAAAAAAGACACAAGACAGGGGTAGCTACATAACTTATCAAACGAAAAGATTAAAAGACTTGCATATTTCAATTGTTTTTAAAGTTTTCTTGGTACACGAGTTAGAGATAATCCCAAAGCAATGTACTTGCAAGCGTTTCTAGCGACGTGCACAGTGACGTAACGACGTCGTTCCCTGGACGCTCTAGTCAGTGGAAAAACAAACAGGTTCTGAACGGGTTCGCAAGTTGAACCAACTCCGAACCAACTTTGAACCAGCACCAGTTCCGAACCAGTTCTTTTTTCGGTGGAAAATGGGTAAAAGAGGCGTGTTTCGGCACAAAAACATTCCCTGGTGCTATTTTTCCGTTCCAGAAAACATTCGGTCTAGAGTCAGCGGCGCGCTGCACGTTGTTTATAATGCTATTTTAAGCTATTTTAAGCGTGCATGCTTGGCCATAATGTAGATGTAAAAGATGTAAAAAAAATGTAGGCCTAAATATAGCTTGCATTTACCCAAATTTTTCAGGCTAATTGTAGTAATGAAGGATCAGACCTGTTTGCCCAATAGTGGCAAGAAACATATATATATAATGTTTAACCGACACTGATTTGTGGGGGTTTCTCGCATCCTAATACAACGTCACTTCTGTCTTTCACGGCCCTGACAAGAGCATCGTCCTCCTCGGCTGTGAACGCTCCTGGTAAATCCGCCATAATAATATCAATCCGTCATGCAACATGCGCACCTGCTCTTAACCCTCAGGTGCTCTTCGTTTCGGAGTCACACTTCCCGGTCAAAAGTATGGAAGCTTGTTTCCGCCACTGAATAAAAAAATATAATAAATAATTGTGACTTTTTATCTCACAATTCTGACTTTTTTTTCTCACAATTCTGACTTTATTTCTCACAATTGCGTGATATAAAGTCGCAATTGCGAGATATAAAGTCAGAATTGTGTGTTATAAAGTCAGAATTGCGAGATATAAAGTCAGAATTGTGTGATATAAATTCGCAATTCTGAGAAAAAAAGACAGAAGTGTGACTTTTTTTCTCACAATTGCGAGTTTACATCTCGCAATTCTGACTTTATAACACATAATTGCGAGTTTATATGTCGAAATTCTGTCATCTTTTCTCAGAATTGTGAGATATAAACTCGCAATTGCGACTTATTAGGCCAATTCTAAGGGGGAAAAAAGACTTAACTTTTTTCCCCCTCAGAATAGTTTAAATCTCACATTTCTGACTTTATAACTCGCAATTCTGACTTTATAACACGCAATTCTGACTTTATATCTCACAATTCTGACTTTATAACACGCAATTGCGACTTTATATCTAGCAATTCTGACTTTATATCTCACAATTCTGACTTTATAACTCGCAATTCTGACTTTATAACACGCAATTCTGACTTTATATCTCACAATTCTGACTTTATAACACGCAATTGCGACTTTATATCTAGCAATTCTGACTTTATATCTCACAATTCTGACTTTATAACACGCAATTGCGACTTTATATCTAGCAATTCTGACTTTATATCTCACAATTCTGACTTTATAACTTGCAATTCTGACTTTATATCTCACAATTCTGACTTTCCATCTCGCAATTCTGAGAAATAATGCCCCAGAATTGCGAGAAGTAAACTCACAATTGTGAGAAAAAAAGTCAGAATTGTGAGATAAAAAGTCGCAATTACCTTTTATATTTTTCATTCAGTGGCGGAAACAAGCTTCCATACAAAAGTGACCGGACACCTAAAAATTTAATTTCCCCCATCCCAGTAAAACCAATGCAATTTATTTTTGTTCTATAATATTTATTCTTTGTAATTTAGTATTTTGAGACAATTTGATTGAATTTATTCATATTTATGCAATATTTATGGTCTATTTTTGCCATGGAAAAATATATATATATATATTTCTATATATATGTATATTATTTTTTTCCAAAAATTATTAATGCAATATTTTAGTTTAATATAGAGTCTAGGCCTTCAGAAAAAAAAAAAAATTGAAAATTAGCACCATCTGGTTACAGTATAGAGAAAAAGCGTAGATTCATGGTGTAACCACTAGATGGCATGTACAGCTCTCTGACATGTACAGCATGTGAATTCCCCAGATGTTTATGAACACTTTTTTTTGGGGTAGAAATAAATAAATAAATAAAAAATTGTGAATTTTTGTGTTTTTGACAATTACCCATTTACCCATGGGGGTCAGTTTTTGACCGAACACCACAAGTGTGACTATTTTTTAAGACCACTTAGCATGGTCAGATCATGACCTCAATTTTTTTTTTTATTCACATACATAATGCCATAAAAGTCACCAAGTTTCGTAATACTCCGATGAAGCCGTGATTTTTAAAATTTCAAAACAGAGTATTTTTCGGTCAGAAATGACCGTAGAGCACCTTAGGGTTAAAGGGTGTGTTGGATGGCGCTCTGATTGGTTTATTTCACGTTACGCCCAAACCACACCTATGAATAATGAAGCTACTCACTTGATTTCAATTCAAGTGCCCTATTATGCTCTTTGGGATATGACCTTTCATGGATTGTGTATCGGATCTGTTTGTGAATGTAAAAGTGCAGATAAATGGGTTAGGTCCTAACCCTAACCCCAAAATCAAACATTTTAGAAGAGTAAATGAGTAATGACCAATGAGCGTTGAGCCGTGTCGTCAGCAAGCCGTTTCCCAGCATGCAGTGCGTGGGGAGCAGCTCTAACGCGGTTCTGTCTCTGGTTTCAGTTCAGCGATCAGCAGAAGGAGAACGAGAGACTGTGGAAGGCCATCCAGAGCCTCAGTCGGAGCCATGAAGAAGAGTGAGAGTCCCATCATGCCTCAGTCATTAGCGATCAGTGCTGCGGTGAGTGTGATCACGGACAGGACCCTGCTGCTAATGCCAAGCCAAATCTGGTAGTTCATCGTCAGACGATCCTCCAGGATAAATATAAGGAAAGTGTCATAAACCGTTGGGCTCAGTCGTCGAGACGTGGGTTTTTACTCTGAATGCTTTTATATTGAACATTTCGTTTTCAAAGAAGCTCTTTTATGTCAGAGATGAAACTGTTAACTCTTTCCCCACCGGCATTTTTGATCATTTTCACGAAATGTTCACGGCCCCCACGGATATTTGGTTGCATGAATATCTGAACATGCAAACTATCAAAAGAAAGAACAGAGGCTCAACATTTTATTCTAGCTTCATGCTTGCTTTTTTATCAACACTTCAATGTGGGTTTCTTTAAAAAGCAACATTTTGAACAAAATTTTTTGTCGAATTTTACAATGTGCGTCTTCTATCGCTTGTTTCTGCTTCTTCTTCAGCTGTTGTAATCCGGAGGTTCAGAACTCTTTCAGATGATGTGCAATATCGCCCCCTACTGTATTACAGTGAAAAAACGTGTATGGCTGGAAAATTGTCAATGGCGGGGAAAGAGTTAAACTCTATGGCCTGGTTTCACAGACAGGGTTTAGATTAAGTCAGGATTAGGCCTTAGTTCAATCAGGACATTTAGATTTTATTAATGTGCCTTAGATGAGATCTGTGGTGAAAATCCAGCTTTTAATGTGTGTATGTGGTGTTTTTAATATTTTTTTTTATGTGTAAAGTCATAAGTCGACAACATTGCTGAGTATTTTCCGCTTAACCCTTTAAAGTCTACGGGGTTTTAAGTCCACCTGGCACTATGTTGATATTTTGGCTTCTTTAATGGTCACATTTCATAGCAGAGTAAACAGACACATATTTCTGGATTCTCTAGATATTATATCATAGTATTATATGCACAGAGTAAATACAATGTACGGATACAGATAAATAGCACAGGCCTTAGATGAGGCTTACTGCACCAAAACTAAAATAAAATCTCCCTAAAAAACATTACAATAAAATAGACAAGCAGAGTAAACTAAATAGCTTATAAATGACATGCGGCCAAAACGTGCACATTGCTTGATTACTGCTCCGTTATTTCTGAAAAGGTCAAATATAATGATTTTATTAAAAAACGATACAATATATAGATTTCATACTTACTCCTCAAATGGATCGTCTTCCTCCAAGTCAAACCGATCTGGATCAGATCCGTTTTCACTCTCGTCGCTGTCGGCAAAAAGCATTTCAGTAAGTTGCTCGGCAGAGAATCTCCGTTGTGCCGTGCGTGTTTTCTTTGAAAATAATCTTGCCAAGTGCAAATAAGCGTATCTGATAGCTCCAAATGTGCGCGTCCAAAGATTGCGAAACAATTCGGTAATCACACGTGAAGTTGATTCCAAACCCCTCCCCTTTTTACGTTCCTACAACATCTGACAACGTCATTTTTTTTGTTTTTGGTCTGTGATTGGTTCACACATCAACAGCATTTTATATCATTAGACAGAAATGCAATAGATTTGCACTAAAATACAGAAGGCTTATAACTTGCGGATGTCAGCTTTCTCATATAAATAAAAAATAAGGTAATACCTTAATCCATTCCAAAGTTATTAATAGATATGTCAGGGATGAGCACTTCGACTTTACTGCAGTGAACCAAAGACAGTCTCAAAAACACGCCTTGAAATCGCTGGTGTTTCTGACGCCACAAACCACCTTGTAACCAATCAGATCAACGTGTGATCGTCAACCAGTGGATCTCTGAGTGAGTGAGTGGAGGCGGGGCTCATTTACATATTCATAGAACCTCGCATACTAAATGAGGCAAGGGTGTCGAGTTACACTTTTTTGTAGGAAAAAAAAACTTTTAAATGTCATTTTAATTATCAAAGATGAATTTTAAGGGATAGAATTGATTTCTTTCAGAAATGTTTTTAAGTTCAAACACATCACACTATATCAGTATATCAGTTTTAATGTTTTGCGGTTGCACATCTGTTATTGTGACTGATGTATTTCAAACTTTAATGTGTGGATGTGAAGCCAAAACCCGGTTTATCTCGGCTAGTCGTGTTTCTGCCGAGATGTAGAACGAGAGACACGCTGTGTGCCGTATTTCACATCATATCAGAGTCAGGCTGTCGTGTCAAAACTACTGAACTCATTGCTTTCTGTTGTATTTCCTGATCATTCTTTGCTTATTTTGTTTACATTGCCAAATATAGCGGAGCAAGTGCATGTTGTGTTGAACTGTTCTGAGATCAGCTCCTGTGTTCTCGTTCTGCATTGGACTGACAGTCACGCGTCTTTGAAGCAACTGCAACCAAATATGCAAATATGTGTTTGTTCTTTGTGTGTGTATCATATCTGGAGTTTGTTTTTAGATTTTAGTCTGTTTTTTGTTGTTTTTATCTTCATTTTCTGTACTCTGAAACTGTATCATATTATTATGGGACTTGCTCTTGAGGTGTTTGTATGCTTTGTACACTCGTATCAGACACTGATTGATGCACATTTTTAATAAAACGGGAAAAAAGTTGAGGCATTGATGTTGGAGTCATTTTTCATGTTGTATCTTTATATAATAATTTAATTTCGGTGCTGATCTTGTTTCATGATTGTTTTATGTACATGTTGCTAAACTGCCTAATGTCGTCAGGATCGGAATGATTTAGTTTGAAATTGATTAATTTTAGAGAACTCTACACAATTACCTGTTAATATTATAATGCATTTGTTTCTGTAACAAAACAGTAAATAGATATTTATATAAGTCCCCCTGTGGTGAAAATCCAGCTTTTAATGTTGTTTATGCGTGTATGTGGTGTGTTTAATCAGCTTTAACACACACCGTGTGTAAGTTGATAAGTGGACAGCATTGCTGAGTGTTTCCTCCTTAAAACTGCAGTGAACCAAAGCAAAGTCCTTTTAGGCAAGTCATGCCACTCGGAAACTATAAATATGTAATTTTGGTGATCAAGGATTTGTTTTAAGGGATCATAAGTTTAAATAATTTGTCTAGTTTTAAGGTCTTTTTTTTTGGGGGGGGGGCAGCTTTATATCATACATTGCTTATTTTATTTGTATTATTAAATACAAATTTTTGTATTTAATAATACAAATAAAATAATCAATGTATGATATAAAGCTGTTTAATCTTGACTATCAGATCAGCTGGCAAGCCACCCTTTTCCGACTGAGGACCATGGCCTCGGATTTGGAGTCGCTGATTCTCATCATAGCCGCTTCACCCTCGGCTGCGTACCGTCCCAGTGCTTACTGGAGGTCCTGGTGTGAAGGGGCCAACACAACATCATCCGCAAAGAGCAGAGTCGAAATCATGTGTGGTCCCATCCCACCACTGAGGGCAGTGTGGTGGAAATTACATTTGTGTAGTTCGTGGAAAAAAATTGAATATAACTTCGCTGATTAGCTTTGCATTAATACTTAGCATAAATAAATAATAATATTAATACTTAGTCCCATAGACATATACACTAGACCTCACCTTGGCTACGGCAGTTCATTGGAACGAATGCGTCAATAGAGCCGCCATCTTGAAACAGGGGAGCCCCTCCACTTTAATGCATCAGCGTCAATGTAGTAGACACAGGTCTAACGCAAATAAAATCACCATAAATCATCATGAATGCGATTTTTCTTGTTTTTTTGGTTTGTTCCAACGGTCAGACATGTATTTATCATTGATTCCAGAAAGATTTATTTATTTATTTTTTTTAAACATTCTTCCTAGTTCAGATTTTATCCGTGAACATCATACGCTGCACAAAAGTCCGCCACCATCAATGAATTCGAAGTAAAGGCAGAGATAGCAGCGTTACCTAACTACTTCCTATGACAAGACCCCTGTTCCAAGATGGCGGCGGTTTTGACGCATGCTTAGAAGAACCCCAAGGTGAGGTCTAGTGTATATGTCTATGATATGGTCCAACATGATCTCTGACGTCACTGAACATTTCCATAGAAACCACCTAAACAATCATTCACACAAACTTTTTAAAGGGACATTACAGTGTTGAGGTGGAAATGACACCTATACTGTGCGTCAGCTATATTTTGTATAAAAAGTAATATTGATAGTGGTTTCGAATTAAATACTATAATTTATTTTAATTATTTTATTAGAACTTAATTTAGGTATATTCATAGTTACTAGATAAGTCATGTTTTTAAGCTGTATTTTCATTGTTGAAGTTAAAAAGTCTTGGTGTGGGACAATGAGACAACAGGGATTTTGACACCTATAATGAGGTTTTAAAGTATGAAAAAATCATAATAGAAAGGTGGTAACAATTTTTTTAAGTGGTTGTATTGTTAGTTTGACAAAGAAAGAAGAATGTATTTATTGAGTTCATTATATAAATAAATATACTAGGTTATATTTTAGTTCGATAATACTTTTTGTTTAATGTTTTGTAGTTTTAGGGGATTTTTACTAAAATATATTTATGGAATAGTTATGATCAATTTATTAGCTGTTAATCTCTTTTTGAGTGTAGACTTGGAAATTAAAATGTGCAAATTAAACTCTGGTAAATCTGAAAAGCTTTGGGTCACAGACTGGGTCTCTTTTTAAAGAAGATTATTATTACGAAGATTATTGACGCGATTATTAAAGGGAAAAAGTTGTGAAACTAAAAACAATTGTTTTAGAAGTGTTACTTTATTATTATGAAAAATGCATTTTAAAAAAATTAAGTGAAAAAAATATATTTTCCAAACGCGTTTTAAGTCTTAAATCTGACACAAAAATCTATCTGTCTGTATTTGTCTGTCTAGTATGTAATTTAAAAAAAAGAAAGAAAAGACCAGATGTTTACAGATGTTGAATGACTTTTATTTTGACATGTTTTGGCGTGTCGTTGTTTCCGACTGTCCCGTCATTCACACTTTCACAAACATGGAGTCTATTTTCCACGAAAAAGTAAGAATCGCATTTTAGCGAATTATATTTATGAATTATATCTATATTTCACACACGCGCTTCGCCCGATAAATAAGAGCTTTGTCCGTGTTTCAGCTTATCCGCACACGAGCGAGCTCACACGGGGTTATATGAAGCGTTTATGGACTTTTATCGACTGTCAACGATCCGAAATGGGCTGAAATTGTTCGAGTTGTTTTGTTTACTGTCATTGTGTCGCTTTTATTATTCTCACATCTCTCTCATGTGAAGATAATGTCGCGGATTATGATTCTATTAAGACCACAGTAACTGCATTTACTAACATTTACAATGGTAACTTACATTATTATAATCCGTAAATGTCATGCGACTAATGCTGTTCTCCGGGGTAATTCTGGGAATATCGTGTCTTTTTGTTTGTCTAATTTTACTACAGTAAACACATAATTAGTTATTATGGAATGAGCTCTTAGTGGTTTTCATTTCTAAAGTCACTGTTTTATTGTAAGATCAAGAACTGCAATAACTCTAGCTAGCACTGTAAATGAGTCACAGTAATCACGGGTTATATTATAAACTGGGTCCGGGGAGAAGTTTAGAGAAAAACAGTGTATAAATAAATAAACTATTTTAACAAACTAAATAAATGTCATTAAAATAAAACTTAAAATAAATTATTAGTAATCAGGGGTTATATTATAAACTGGGTCCGGGGAGATGTTTAGAGAAAAACAGTGTATAAATAAATAAACTATTTTAACAAACTAAATAAATGTCATTAAAATAAAACATGAATTATTCGTTTTTAAATAAGACATTAATATATCTTATTAGATTTTTTTTTTTAAAAAGTTGTTAAAAATGCTATAAAAAAATTAACAAATAAATGAAAGATTATTTAAATAAATAAAATTGAAATTAATAAATTTGTATATGTGATTAAAATACATAAATGTAAAAAATTACTCTTGATAAACTAAAATAAAGCTTGATTAAAATAAATAAAAAATGAAACGTACTGTAAAAAAAAGATTCTAACTAAGTAAATAAGTTGATACAAGTGTTTAAAAAAGAAAAATAAATTAGTAAAATTTACTAAAATAAGATAAAACAAATTGATTTAGATAAAAATAATTACATTTAGCAAAACTAAATAAATAAATATAACTTGTTTAAAATACAATAAAAGCGGAAAAGTACTGTATAAAAAACAGATACAACTAAGTAACTAAATACATAAAAATTATTGAAATAATAATTGTGATTAAAACAATTATTAATAAATAAATAAAACATCTACAGGTACATTGCTACAGTGAGGAGAAAAACACAGTGATGTAATGTAATAAATAACTCAAAATGTATTTAATTAAAATAAATGAAATGAATAAATGAAAATACGTATATAAATAAAATGTGCTATAAACTTGATAAAGCTAAACAAATAAATAAAACTTGATTAAAATTAATAACAAAAGTGTAAAAGTCCAAAATAAACACACAGTTAAAATAAGATTAAACCAAAAAAAAATTTGATTAAAATAAAACGTTATTTGAAATGCATGAAATTTGATTTAAAAAAAAAATCATTAAAATCAGTTGATAAAAATAAATAAATACAAATAACAGTACTGTACTGTCAGTAGAAGAAAAACACAATGATGTAATAGAAAGTAGCCTACATGTTTTACAAATGTATAATAATTAAGCAATAAGGTTATACAGCACAGCCTCTCGTACCTTATTGCTTTTATAAAACGGTTACCACACAAGACAAATATTAAAATAAAATAAAAATATTAGTGTAACTTTAATGAAGTGAAATCACTAAAAGCCTTCCTTCCGCTAGAAAAAAATAGTCCCTGACCGTGAACAGCAACAACGCTCCAGTCAGTGTGTAATATACATTAAAGCTCAAATAAACACAATATAAGAACTGCAGTGTTGTGCAGTGATACACAGAACCTGTTTGACTGTTTTATAGTTTCTTTTAACAGTATTAATTGGGTCATCATATATGAAAATATTTATCTGCTGTTAAAGTGTGAGGATAAGGGCACTCGCACGAGAGGGATCATATTTTACACGTAACAGATTGAATATTTAAATGAACTCAGTATTTTGGACACTGTTTCTGCCTCTTCATGACGACTCGCCTGCTGTACTCCTCATTTGTAAGTCATTGGGGACAAAGGCGTCTGCTAAATGTGCATGTAAACTCCCTGACAGTAATGTGTGTGTGTGTGTGTGTGTGTTTCAGCAAGAGGGCTCTCTGTGTGCGCAGCACTGCTTGAATAACCTCCTGCAGGGCGAGTACTTCAGTCCGGTGGAGCTGTCGGCCATCGCACACCAGCTGGACGAGGAGGAGCGCATGCGGATGGCGGAGGGAGGAGTGCAGACGGAGGAGTACAGGACCTTCCTACAGGTGCACACACACACACACACTCATTGCTCACAGCTCAGCTCACTCTTATAATCCTAACACCTGTGTGTTCTGCCCTCTTCAGCAACCGTCGGGAAACATGGACGACAGCGGCTTCTTCTCCATCCAGGTGAGTGTGGTCTGAGCGATACACACTCGTGTACACAGCGGCTCTTCAGTGGCGCGCGATGATGGAACATGAAGGATATATATATGCACAATACGTTCTTTATAGTATAAAAAGGTGCTTTAGATTATTAAAATGTTCTTTACTCTAAGAATAAAGTGATTTGTTTAAAGTCCCCTTGTAGTCAATAATTGTATCCCTTAAAATTCACCAAACTTTTTTTCTGTCTTAAAATATCTTGAATGTAACTCGACACCCTTGCCTCATTTAGTCTGCGAGATTCGGTGAATATGTAAATGAGCCCCGCCTCCACTCACTCACTCAGAGATCCACTGGTTGACGATCACACGTTGATCTGATTGGTTACAAGGTGGTTTGTGGCGTCAGAAACACCAAAGCGTGTTTTTGAGACTGTCTTTGGTTCACTGCAGTTTTAAGGAGGAAATACTCAGCAATGCTGTCCACTTATCAACTTACACACGGTGTGTGTTAAAGCGGATTAAACACACCACATACACACATAAACAACATTAAAAGCTGGATTTACACTACAGGGGAATTTTAAGAACCGAAAACTGCTCTTCTTTGGCATCATTACTGTGAAAACCTCAATGTTGACAGTGAGCGCATCTCCTCACACTCCTCCTTCAGTCGTGTGCTTTTGCATGATTGTCTAAAGTTTGTCTTCATAATCATTTCAGAGCTGCACGATTCGGGATAAACAGAATCATGATTTTACATGTTTAAATATAGATCATGATTCTGATAGCATGTCATTTACTACAGGACACAATGTTATTTTCTGTAGTCTATTTATAAAAGTGTTTCATTGATTTAAATATTTAAAATTTGTTTAAATTAATGATTCAATGAATCACTCATAAAGACGTCCCACTGGCTTCATTACTGCATGAATCAGTGTTCTTGAACGAATCTCTTAAATTAAATGATTCAATGACTCACTTGTAAAGACTTCACTTGCTTCATTGCTGGATGAATCAACGTTTTTGAATGAATCTCTTGAATGAATGATTCAATGACTCACTCATAAAGACTTTACTGGCTCCATTACTGGATAAATCAGCATTTTTTGAATCAACAATTCTCAAGTGAATGATTTAATAACTCACTCGTAAAAATTCACTAGCTTCAGTACTCGATGAATCAATGTTTTTGAACAAATCTATTGAATTCAATCACTCACACATAAAGACTTCTTTTGCTTCATTACTAAAGGAATCAATGTTTTAATACTAATCTCTTGAATGAATGCTTCAATCACTCACTCGTAAAGACATCACTTGCTTCATTACTAGATGAATCTATGTTGTTGAAATCTATTTTGCTTCATTACTGGATGAATCTGTTTTAATACTAATCTCTTGAATGAATGCTATAATGACTCACTCATTAAGACTTCACTTGCTTCATTACTGGATGAATCTGCATTTTTAACGAATCTCTTCTTTTTCTTCATTACTGGATGAATCAGCATTTTTAACTAATCTCTTAAGTGAATGATTCAGTGACTCACTCATTAAGACTTTACTTGTTGCGTTTCTGAATGAATCAGCATTTTTGAATGAATCTTTTAAATTAATGATGCAATGACTCACTCGTAAAGACATCACTTGCTTCATTACTGGATGAATCAGTGTTTTAATACCAATCTCTTAAATGAATGATTCAATGACTCACTCATTAAGACTTCACTTGCTTCATTACTGGATGAATCTGCATTTTTAACGAATCTCTTCTTTTTCTTCATTACTGGATAAATCAGCATTTTTAACGAATCTCTTAAGTGAATGATTCAATGACTCACTCATCAAGACTTCACTTGCTTCATTACTGGATGAATCAGCATTTTTAGCAAATCTCTTCTTTTTCTTCATTACTGGATGAATCAGAATTTTGAATGAATCTCTTAAGTGAATGATTCAATGACTCACTCATTAAGACTTCACTTGCTTCATTACAGGATGAATCAGCCTTTTTTAACGAATCTTTTGAATGAATGATTCGATGACAAATACATCATATTAACAGTCACTTGATGTAATTACAGTGTAAAGTTACTTTTAAAAGGTGTTTTACTTTGTTTTGATCGCTACTGTAGACATCAGTGTTTATATCTGAACTATAATGTTTTATCCCCGTACTTATTTGATAATCTGAATTATTATAAGACAGAAATAATGAAACTGTTGTTGAAAAGACTCAAAGACTCATACATGACCACGGCTCTCTCTGGGTCAGAACGCCTTTAGGAATATTTCCAATGTTTGAATTGTGAACCCTTCCCTTGTCCTCGTGCACAGTCCTCAGGTGTAGACGTCCCATGAGCCCTTGCTGAGTGCAGGTGCGCTGTGTTTTGCAGGTCATCAGTAACGCGCTGGGGGTCTGGGGTTTGGAGATCGTTCTCTTCAACAGCAGAGAGTACCAGCAGTTACAGATCGACCCCATGTAAGTCTCTCTGACCGGGTCCGCATCCGTTCTGTTATCCACTGTGTGACGCTCATCCTCTTCATGTTTGCTTCCAGACACGAGAAGGCCTTTATATGCAACTATAAGGAGCACTGGTTTACGGTGCGTAAACTGGGACAGCAGGTATGTGTGTCGCTCGCAGCATTAGTCCAACACAAGCACTGCGTTTGCATGTGCACCCATAATCTGACTATTTCCAATCAGGACTTAATTACAGTGAAATGTTTACAGGACACGAACAAACCCTCGTGTTTACATGCAACATGCAAGAATTGTGGTTATTTTTACCGCTTTAAGCACAAGGCTCTTCTGGACAAACTCTTCCAGCACACATGGATTTGTTTGCCGGTTTTTTAATCTTTATCTTTTCATTTTTTTGTTAACACCCCAAATTTAATCCATTTAAAAAAAATTTGACCATGCGTCGTATTCATGCACTCCAATCATGCACAGTGGAGTAGATTTATCGTTTATTGTGATTAAAATCGGCATACGCCATGTTGTACTACAATTATTGTGACCTTAAGGTTACTTTAATTTCCTATTATCTCTGTAAAGCTGCTTTGAAACAATCTATATTGTTAAAAGCGCTGTATAAATTAAGGTGACTTGACTTAATGGATTCATTCACTTCAGTATTAAAATGTCCTGATAGTTTACTCTCCCGCACGTCATCCGAGATGTTCATGTGTTTCTTTCTTCAGAGGAAATGAAGGTTTTTGAGGAACACACTCCAGGATTTCTCCATATAGTGTGGAGATTTCTCAATGGGGTCCAACGGGTCGAAGGTCAGATGTGAGTTTCAAAGTCTCGACACGATCCAGCCGAGGAATAAGAGTCTGATCTAGACAAACCAGCGACATTTACAACAAAACACACATTTATATACTTTAACCACTAATGCTGGTCTTGCTCTCGCTGTGATGCGACACACATTACGTGATCAGGGTGAAAGGTCAAGCGTGACGTAGGCATAAGAACAGACCCAGTGTTTACAAAGAGACTAAATCAAACACCATTTACAAATTAATAAATAAAAGGTAAAACAACGATGTCGGACGATTTTGAAGTCGGAGGAGAAAACGAGTTTTTCACTCTACATTTCCGAACCAGAACACGCTTGACCTTTCACCCTGATCTCGTAATGTGTGTCGCATCACAGCGAGAGCAAGACCAGCATTAGTGGTTAAAGTATATAAATGTGTGTTTTGTTGTAAATGTCGCTGGTTTGTCTAGATCAGACTCTTATTCCTCGGCTGGATCGTGTCGAGAATTTGAAACTCACATCTGACCTTCGACCCGTTGGACCCCATTGAAGACACTATATGGAGAAATCCTGGAGTGTGTTCCTCAAAAACCTTCATCTCTTTCCCTCTGAAGAAAGAAACACATGAACATCTCGGATGACGTGGGGAGAGTAAATCATCAGGACATTTTCATAATCCTTTAAATGAATAGTTCACCCAAAACTGAAAGCTCTCACATCATTTACCCCGCCTCATGTCATTCACAGTGTACGGTATATGACTTTCTTTCTTCAGATTAACACAAACAAAGATTGTCTGGAAAATAATCCATAACTGTGAGTCTATATAATGCAAGTGAACCGCTCATTTGACACTTGAAAAACCACACAAATGGTGATTCCAGCGGATGAATCTGTCTTCTGAAGCCAAACGATACGTGTGCTAGAAAAATAAATCAATTATGAAACTCTTTTAGCTATAAATCATGTCTTAAGAATGTAAACCAATTCAGCTTGACTTAAACGTAACGTCTGTGCGAGAACTAACGACCACCTTGTGATTCCTCGTATGACAAAATATGAATGTTTTTCTTAGTTACACACACTTTCTTAGTCGTTTGGCTGGAGAATACACAGATGAATCCACTGGGGTCGTATGATTTCACCACGATCGCTGTGTGTGTGAGTACTGAGCGGCAGCTGTGTGAGATGATGTTGAGTTCCTCTCTCTTGATCTAGTGGTTTAATCTGAACTCGCTGTTGACCGGACCGGAGCTCATATCGGACACATACCTGGCCCTTTTCCTAGCGCAGCTGCAGCAAGAAGGTAAAGCTCGTACATGGCCGTGCGTCACATGAGCTCTTATCATACGTCCACACGTATAATGCGTCCCATATTCCAGGTTATTCCATATTTGTGATCCGGGGAAACCTGCCGGATTGTGAAGCGGATCAGATTTTGCGGATCATGCGAGTGGAGCAGCAGCAGCGGCCGAAGCTGATTGGTGAAGACGAGGCCCAGAGGTGCGTCAACGCTCATCACATGACATATAGGCCTCGTTTACACTGTCTGTGAAATGTGACCCAATTCCTATTTTTTGCTATCACCGTGTAAACAGGAAAAAAAACGCATGCATTCGGATATTTCGAGATCGGTTTCAGGCCTCGTTCATATGTGGAAATTAATCAGATATGTGCCAGTGTGTCTGTCATGTTAACGATGGCATTTGGCAAAGTACCCCGATTTAAAGGATTAGTTCACTTTTCAAAAAACTTTTGCTGATAATTTACTCACCCCCATGTCATCCAAGATGTCCACGTCTTTCTTTCTTCAGTGGAAAAGAAATTAAGGTTTTTGATGAAAACATTCCAGGATTTTCTCCATATAATGGACTTCAATGGGGACCAAACGGTTCGAGGTCCAAAAGACAGTTTCACTGCAAACTGTTCAAAGGGCTTTAAACGATTCCAGATGATGAATAAGGGTCTTATCAAGCGAAACGATCACTAATTTAATAAATAAATAACAAAGTTTAAGTTTTATAAGCTCAAATGCTCGCCTTGCTCTGTTCTGTGACGCGCGTTCGTGACTCTCCTGTTCGAACTCGATCATCAAAATTAACAAATCTTTTTCCGAGTCAATTCATTAATTTCGTTCGTTGAATGAATCAAATGACACAAAAAAAGATTTGTTCATTTTGATAATCGAGTTGGAACAGGAGAGTCACGAACGCGCGTCACAGAATCACACGCAAGGCGAGCATTTGAGCTTATAAAACTTAAACTTTGTTATTTATTTATTAAATTAGTGATCGTTTCGCTTGATAAGACCCTTATTCATCATCTGGAATCGTTTAAAGCCCTTTGAACAGTTTGCAGTGAAACTGTCTTTTGGACCTCGAACCGTTTGGTCCCCATTGAAGTCCATTATATGGAGAAAATCCTGGAATGTTTTCATCAAAAACCTTCATTTCTTTTCCACTGAAGAAAGAAAGACATGGACATCTTGGATGACACGGGGGTGAGTAAAGCAAAAGTTTTTTTTAAAAGTGAACTACTCCTTTAATGGCGAGAGCAACTCAACAATGATGGCACTCTTAGTTTCATTATGGAGATGTTGGCGAATTTCACATATATCGCAGAGCTAGCATCAAGCATATTTCACGTTCGTCCATCTGTTCGTCCCTTTAACCCCCTTTAAGCTAGTATGTCAAGTGTAATCACATTAATCAGATATGAGCCACACTCACAATTGAAAGGACGTGTAATCGGACGGTCAACAAAAAAATCAGATATAGGCACCCAATCAGAATTGGGCATCAAGACCTGCTGCAGTGTAAACACATTATGGATAAACAAAGTGCTCATCTGTAAAATCCAAACAACAAACTGTTTGCAACTCAAGGGTCCAGATCATTTAAAATGGGATATTTTGTGGAAAAAAGTCAACTATTTATTCCTTATTGGTGATGAATGTGCATGTAGTGTTATTCAACACCCAAAACAAACAGCATCATTTCATCATAGCATAAGGATCAAATGCTTAATTAAATGCAAATGCATAATCAAATGATTTCAATGCATGACGTGGAGGCAAAGACCCGGCCACCGGTGTTAAAGCGCCCCTATTGTGCTTTTTCAGAGATTCCCTTTCCTGCAGTGTGTCATGGAGCCGTTTGTGAATGTAAAAGCGCAGCAAATCAAAGTGCAGATAAGAAGTGATTCTGAACTGAAACGAGTCGTCAGTGATTCAGCCTCACTTCCAGATGAATCTGCGTACGTGCGTAACTAATTTGCATAATGCCAGCCTGTGGTCTTGATTGGCTGAGCGGTGTCTCTTGGCTCCGCCCTCAAACACTGTAGTGTATCTGAGACGGGGAGAGTGTCGAGGAGACGCTGTTTTCTGAGATTGATTCGGTGAAACTCACGCCATCGTCACTGTTCGTATCACTGTGATCAAGAGCTGAGATTCAGATATGATAATGAGCGTTTCTGACCAATCACAGCAGAGCAGCTCTCAGAGAGCGGGGCTTAGAGAGACTGAATCCTTGATTGAAGCGTCACTGAGAGATTGAATAATGCTCCAGTGGAGATTATGAGGAAATTAAAGTGTGTTTGACCTTTGATGCGTTTAACCTGCTGTAGGAGACATTAAAAACAAACATTAAGAGTCTTTAATGGGGCACTTTAATAATAAATTAAAGTGTAGATATAATAAAGTGTAAAGTGTTTTAATAAAGTGTAGCGTGGATCACTGATGTGTGTGTGTGCTGTGGATCAGGCTGACGGTGCCGCAGGTGTCAGACACCACACACACCACCGGGGAAGAAGCGCCGCTGGACGAGGATGAGGAGGAGCTGAGGAAGGCTCTGGCTCTCAGTAGACAACACATGGAGGTGGAGGACGAGGAGGCCGACCTGCGCAGGGCCATCCAGCTCAGCATGCAGGGTGAGACACACACACACAGATCATGTTGACCTAGATGCTGCAAGAGGAGGTTAACCCAATACTGATGTGCACTAATCATGAACCGATAAGAACTGTGAGTTGTGTTTCGCTGGTGCTGTAATGGACAGGCGGCGTTGATCCCAGAAGCCCCGGGGCGGGTGTGACGGCGGGCTCGTCTCATGAATCGGGAGGCGTTGAGAAGGAGACGCTCTCGGCTGAGGAGCTGCGCAGGAGGAGACAGGTGTACTTCGACAGGTGAGCGCACACACACGCACACACACTCGTGTTGATGTGAGCGTGATCAGAGTTAGTGATGATGTGTGTCTCCTCACAGGCAGCAGCAGAACACACACACGCTCACGCCAGCACACCGCCGGTAAGAGCCTCCAGTACTCCTGCTTCAGTCTGACCCCAGATCAGTCATGTGAGCGAGGGCTCCAGGTCTAGTTATCCCGATCGCTGTTTAACCCTCAGGTGCTCTTCGTTTCGGAGTCACACTTGTTATCTTCCCGGTCAAAAGTGACCGGACACCTAAAAATGAAACTTTCTCCATCCCAGTACAACCAATGCAATTTATTTTTGTTCTATAATATTTATTCTTTGTAATTTAGTATTTTGAGACAATTTGATTGAATTTATTAACATTTATGCAATATTTATGGTTTATTTTTGCCATGGAAAAAATATATATTTATATATGTATATTATCTTTTTCAAAAAAATTATTAATGCAGTATTTTAGTTTAATATAGAGTCTAGGCCTTCAGAAAAAAATATTTTTTGAAGAAAATTAGCACCGTCTGGTTACAGTATAGAGAAAAGGCGTAGAATCATGGGGTCATGTACAGCTCTCTATGGAGAAGCATGTGAATTCCCCAGATGTTTATGAACACATTTTTTTTTTGTGTGTGTGTGTGGATTTGAATATATAGTTGAAACAATCTCAAAAACGATTTTTTATTAAAAATATGTAAATATATATATATATATTACATATTTGTGAATTTTTGTGTTTTTGTCAATTTCCCATTCATTTCCTATGGGGGTCATTTTTGACCAAGAACAAGTGTCACTATTTTTTTTTTTAAGACCTTAGCATGCTCAGATCATGACCTCAATTTTTTTTTGTCTTCACATACATAATGCCATAAAAGTCTCGTAACATTATGATGAAGTTGTGATTTTTAAAAATTCAAAAATACTTTTTGTAATCAAAATTTATTGGTGTGTATGTGTATAAAAGTGTGTTTGTATGTGTGTGTGTGGGTGGGTTGTCTGTTTTGCACTCTAGATGTTGTAGAGTGTCACCCCTTTCCTGCGGTGTACTTTTTTTTTTAGAATTGTGGCCAATTTGTAGATTGCACGTACAAAAATTCAGAGAATTTTATTTATTTTTTTGTCAATTTCCCATTCATTTCCTATGGTCGGTCATTTTTGACCGAAGACCACAAGTGTGACTATTTTTTTTTACGACCACTTAGCATGCTCGGATCATGACCTCAATTTTTTTTTGTATTCACATACATAATGCCATAAAAGTCACCAAGTTTCGTAACATTCCGATGAAGCTGCGATTTTGAAATATCAAAACAAATTTTTTCGGTCAAAAATGACCGAAGAGCACCTGAGGGGTATCAGTGTGAGGGCGTTTCACAGCCAGAGTGTTTGTTTCAGGAACTCCCGTCTCTTCTCCCTCAGTTCTGTTCGTTTAGGCTTGATCCGCACCAAAGCACCGTCTGAATGAGGTGGTTTCAGCCCATTTGTAGTAGTTCACTTCAGAATTAACATTTCCTGATGGTAATTTTAATTCTGAAGTGAACTACTCCTATAAAGTGCCCCGTTAGGCTGTTTTAAGGGTTTCCAGGGCTAAACGTTCATATTGTCACATGACCTCTCAGCGTCACTTCATATACCCTCTCCTATGGCGTCATGGGACAGTAAGTGTCAATCCAATGCGCTCTATTGGCAGGAGTAGTAGGTTATCCATGTACTTTTCACCTTCTGTTTTTCAAACACTATTAAGTAGGAAAGTGTTTCGGACGCAGCGACAGTCTAAGCGTTTTAAACGTTGGCCACGGGATCTGCTCATCATCTGTGTGTCGTTAGCAGGCGAAGAAAAGGACAGCGGGACCAAACCAACCAGTGACCCTCCAGCAGAGACGCTCTGACCACCACGATCCACCCGACGGGGCCACACTGCGCTCGGGTCCTGCTGGGTCAATCAAGGGACATTCGTTTAGCTTCGCTTGGCCTCTGCGAGATGAACAGGTCAAAGGGAAGCTTTCCCCCGGTACATTCCTCTTCCTCAGACTGCCGTCTCCGAGAGCGAGGCGCCCGGCGCGGGGAACCTGTTAAAGTGGGACCATTCGGGCTTTATTGGGGCTCTATCCTCTTTCCCTCTGTGAACTGTAGTGAATTACTGTCACAGGCGAGGCGTGTGACACGTGTCCGTATCTGTGATTCATCAGCGGCGGTCGACTCTCACGAGCACAGCGCGTGTGTGTGTGTGTGAGATGTTGAAGAGTGAGACAGTGATGAAGTGACGTTCATCATCGTTTTAGTCGTCCCTCAGCAGATCTTTTGGCTCCCACTCGTTTCATATTCAGCAATAGTTTTTAAGTGATTGATTATTCTTGCACTTCTATGTACACACTTTTTGTTTCTTCTTAATAAAATGATTTGTTTTCCCCCTCTCTGTTTCTTCTCCCTGGATTATTAGACTTCATATGTTCCCTCCGTCATTAGTTTCGCTGATGACTAGCAGTCGCACGATTCGCTCTCTTTATCCACGCTTTAGTTTCATCATCCTTCACTCACGCGTCAAAATGACCCAAGCCCTAAAATTATATATTTATTTTTTTGTACGGAATTGTTTCATTTCATTTTGATATTTTTAGCGGCAATTTTTGTGGAGATTTTTTATTTACCTTTAAATTGCTACATTTCATCACTAAATAGTAATTTAAGCAGCACATTCCTCACAAACTTAAATTCAAAATGTCATAATTTCATGCATAACCCCCAAGCGGCAACCTCCCCGTCTCTCTCTTGAAGCCAACGGAAGTGAATTAAACTGCAAGTGGCCGCTTGAGGCAGGCTGCAGAAGCGAGTCAAAATCTGTATCTCCCCCATGTTAAAAATGCCCAACTTTACAGCAGAAAAAACATGTTTACAGCCTGGAGCAAAAAGTGGCTTTGGCCTATAGAGCTCATTTTTCCCTTCATGACAACTGTGAGGGGGGTGAATTTTTTTACAACTCATCTGTTTAAATTATATTTAAGCCTTAACGTTCTGCATAATTAAGGGCGTGGCCACTTGAGTGACAGGTGCCGCTGCTTTCACTGCTAGTCGTTTGTCTGCTGTCTGTTAGCGTCACCCTCAGCTGTGTTTGTGCTTTTCCGGGATTATTTCATACAATTTAATACATGTATTATACCTTCGCCCGTGCTCGCCGTCAGATTCAGTCGTCGAATGGAGGGGAGGAGATGAATGACTCAGTAATTCCAGCTGTTTCCCTCGCATGCACTAATGGATGTCGGATGATTTCATTGCTTTCTCTCCGTCCATGCAATAGATGCACACCCTTGAATGAGCGCGGATTTCTAGTTCATTTACTTGAAGTTCTGAGGTAATATCTTTGGTTTGACCATCTGAGAAATGAGAGGCGGCCAAAATCAGACTGTAAAATGGACTGAATTAAAGCTCTTTACGAACTTGACGTGAGATGCCGACGTGTGCTTGCCTTGAAGAATCACTGTCACATGCACAAGCTTAGAGCAATTGTAAGTAATTAATACATTTTTAACTATCAGAAATAATAATGCATCACGATGCGATAGTTTGACTGTATGTTGTGAGAAATGTGTGTGATCTGTGTTATGTCTACTTGTATACATGCCCCTTGTGAGATTAATAAAGTTGATAAAAAAGGAAAGTAAATAGTCTCACTTTTAGTTACGTCTTAACTATTATAATATTTCGAAGGGCAAAAACATGAACTTTAACCATTGGCTTTACTTTTTCAATCAGCTGTCAATTCAGCGCGAGGGAGTAGAGCAGTAGCATAGCACCTCAGTTCCACCCGCGTCACGCCTCTTTGCCCATTTTAATTTATCCGGTAGTGACGAGAGGTGACGCACTGCCAAGATGGCGACGGCCGGCCACGCCCACTTTAGGCCTCAAAAACGCTCTTCAGAAACCTATGGGTGGCGTCACGGACACTACGTCCATATTTTTTTCAGTCTATGTGCATAACCCTTTTAATTCAGCTCTAAATATCTTACACCGGGAGTCTTTGCTGACCTCTTGTGGAAAATAAATAGTATAACATGATATTTCATGACTCTAGATGAGCTTATATCTCTATATGCAGAGCCAGAGAGCCATGTATTGAGAGAGTTCCGACAGTCCCATAGACCGCCATTGTAACTCAGGAATGCGGAAGTGACGCGTGTCGTGGACCCGCCCATTAGTTCCAAAACTGATACTTCCAGCATTGAACCCCATTCATTTTCAGTGTTTTCCGAAGTACGCTCGCTGGTAAATTAATGAAATTACTGTATTTTTACTTTTTACACACATTTGCCGACCTCTTGTGAATCTAGTCTGTAGTTATATGTTATGTAGCCAGATCTACTAAATGTTTATTGGAAGATAATATAGGTTAATTTGCAGCGATAGCTTACATGACCGACACTTCACTAACGTTGTTAGTTAACTTATGGTAACTGAATCTATATTTTATATATTATATAAATATTATCTTATTGAAAATATATATTAAATATAATTTATTATATATGTGTGTGTGGGGGGTGGGGGGGGGATTGAAACATGTATCCTGTACACATTGTAATAAATGTATTTGTGTGTGTTTTCTGATGAATGGTTTAGACCCTTCCAGAGCTGAGATATCGAAACTCAAATTTCGACCAGAAAAAAAAAAACGAAAGGGGTACCACTGTCGTTTTTTTTTCGGGTCGAAATTTTGAGTTTCTCTGATCTTCTTGAAACTCTGGATTCTGATAGAGGGCCATGAGACTTAGACCCTGATTGCAAAAATGGAGGCTCTAGACCCTTCCAGAGCTGAGATATCAAAGCTCAAAACTTCGACC